TATTTAAAACATTTGAAACATAGAACAATTACATAATAAGAAATCACATAAAAAAATTGTTTTTAACTACCAAAGATTTTATATCCCTTTAAAGTTGGTAGTACAAGTTTGGTGATACATTAAAGAAAATTACAAAAGATATGTATAACTCAATTTTGAAAACAAAAGTTTGAATGCAATACCTCAAAGGGTTAAAAGAGAGTGGTGATACCAAAAATAAAATAAACCGTAATTCTAAGTTGAAACAGGGAAATGATATTGTCAAAATCTTTGTCATAGTTATCGTCCTCTTGCCTAGACATGGAAATAATTGTGACTAACGCAAGAACCATAACTAACAATACAAAGGCTAAAAATACCCGAGCCTGCAACATTTTTAAGTCTTTTGTTTTCGGCGTTCTTTAGGGATTCTATTTTTTTTCATTCCATTTTTAAGGTAGCTCGCTACTTTCCGACCGAAATATGACAACATCTCAGATCTCGATGATTTTTGGTATACAGACATGTAGATATGTAGGCTTTACTTCTGCAGTATTATTTTATAAATAAACAGCGTTACTATGACGTAAAAGCGCCCTCTATCGGTGGCGGCGAAATTGCGTCTTTTTTATCAATAAACCGGTCTGTTCTTATCAATTTTCATCCGATTTCATTCATTTTAATTTTATAATGTTCAGTAAATGTATGTCTTTGTAATGATGTCTTTCTTTAACATTTACTTAATAGTCTGCGATTTAACGTCATTTTTCTCTACGTTCTGACGTCCATATTGGATGCAAATATCGCGCGATATCGCTATAAAGATTGTGTAATAAAAAAAATTCAACACGGTGAATTTTGCTATAATTTTCCGAGCGTGTAGTGAGATAGTGAAGGAAAATATATATGCAATAAAAATATAGGATCAACGCGTAAGATATTTTGCTATTATTGTTTTAAACTAGAATAAAGGGTGAGTGAAACGTAATGATTTGGTGACGTTAATAGATGTTCAAAGAATAATACCAAAATAACAATTGTCTTACGTCAAACATTACGATAGTAAGTATAAACAACACAAGGACTTGATGAAATGTATATTTTTTAAATTGTTGATTATTTTCTCATTGAAAGCATGCCATAGATGAGCACATTTACAATGTTTAATCAGACAATCCCTTTTTAAATACTTTCCTAATTTGCAGGACACAGTCTAAAACATCTTTTAATTCTAATTTTATAATGTGATGTTGTTAAAGTGTTACATTATTATATGAATCAACTAGTTTCAGCGCAAAGAAATAAGATTCACATATTGCTGTATGAATGAAGTAAGAATATTAGGTCGCTTCGCTTATACCCGTAGAATATTTATTTTTATTTACGTTACATTCAGCCTTTAAACACTTTCATAAAATCACATAAAGGCAGACAAGCCTCGGTGTCAAAACACATCGTAAAATATACAATTAAAATAGATATGCATCAAATGTCCCGATATAAGTGATAAATAAAATTCAGAAATAATATTCAAAGTTAAAGGGACTCCACTGAGGCTTTTTGACATGATGGAACTGAAGACATTTTTTCCAGATAAATGAACCATTTGATGTAGATTTAGACCAATAATCTTTGTGCAAAATTTCAGAGCATTCACGCACTTTGTTTTTCCAGAATAATTATTCAAAAAGAAAAGCGTTTAAACGCTTTTCACCCAAATCGGGCTAACAAAAGCATAAAAATATGATTTTCAATTTATTTCAAAGTATATTTCTTAACTATCTTCGCATATATTTCTGTTTAAAGTGCCCCAGCTCATTTATGTAAGAAATTCAAATGTTATGTGTTTGGCTTTTCAACCTCAGTGGAGTCCCTTTAAGAATATTGAAAAAAAAATGTACAAGAAACAAAAACCTTTATTTTATTTTTATTTTTGCTTACCATTTTTAAGCCTGTGCAATACATAGATTATATAATTATAATCTAATTAAAATGTCATGATATTTAGAAAATGAGCACTTATGTGACAAACTATAAAAGTTTTTGGAAGCAAAATCATAATGAATAAAAAATATATAAGCATATTCGCAACTGCAGACTCAAATGTGAAACACCCAATATAACCATTACTCAACTCGGATTCATTACCGCTTTTTCATTACAGTATAACATAGCGGCCCTCAAAATATTATTTTTTTCTAAAGAGTTCCACTACATTTTACCTCTATAGAGCAACCACTCAAGGCAACAAAAGGCATTTCTCTGTAAAGGTTATACTGTATATTTTAATTAAATACAAAATATAATTATTAAATAACTTGTGCAACTTTTGTTACCACTGAATACGAATATTAAGTTGACGTTATCTTGTTCATTTTTTAATACAATGCAGTTTGCTTTAAAACAAAATTAAAAAAATAAAAAAACAAGAAAAAAAACAACAACCTCAAAACACACACCAAAAACACGTGTTTATGATGTTAACAATAAAGTTGACTTCTCCCTTATTGAGGGAGATCATAATCAGGGTTTTAACTTTGAATATTTTTCTGTTGCCACGTTGTAATCGGTGAAGTGGTCTTACGCTGAATTCGGAAGGCATGGATTCGAGACACGATTGCGTATTGTACTAATAGATTATCCTTTAGAATTGTTTACTGTGTATGAAATGTTTCAAGGTCCACCTCGGACTCCTGTCATTCATTTTCAAAGAGAAATTGATACTGTGAGAAACACTAGTTTCGTTAAATTCCCTCCGCTATAATTGAAATACTGTTGAAAGCGGCGTTAAACCTAATATTAAGAAAATAAGAAGATATAAAACATAAAATGCATAGTTCATTATTTTCATAGGCTCTACATAGCACTGCATTATGTGCAGACAAAAAAACGAGCTTCTCCCACATCCATAATCACACAAATTGAGAATCCTATATAATCCCCTTCAATACAAGGGAATCTGTATTTAATATGCAAAATTCTCCGCTTCTGAACATACAAAATAAATCAACAGATCTTTCACCTCTAATCGAGAAATGATCGCGGCTTCAGGTCGCCTCAAAGATGCGCTAGTAAACGCATACCGCGAGTCAGCTATTTTAAAAAAATAAGAATATCTGTAATTATGTGAAATACGTGAGAAATTAAAGCCATAGCATGAGAGCGTGATTCCTGCTTTAAATCTGAGTCTCACGCTTAGTGCAGGGTATTTAGCTGCGAGAGAAAATAGAATAACTCATGGCTGTTAATAAATAAATTTTTATACGTGTAGAAAATTTTGAATTAAATGTCTGCTAGATTTTATAATATAATAAAGACGTACAAATCGTTGCTACTTCCAGTTGATCATATATTTTTGAAACGTAAATTTGATTCATTTCCTACCAGAGACATAGATGTTATCTATGTCTCTGTTCCTACTAACTGATATATACAATTCAAAATTGTTACATATGATAACATGGAAGTTAATGTTGTACCGAGATACACATAACATGATGACATTGCGACTGCACCAGCCTTTTCATTATTTTCCTGTCATTCTTTGCAAAATTTACGTTTTTATAATTTCCACTTAGGTGGCCTTTAATCATATCTTTCAATATTCTGAATTGTCTTTCAGTCCTCGAGGTATTTATAACCATTCGTTGCAGTTTTTCAGAGATTGATACCAACTTTTACAGACAGTGATTTGTTGTACATGTATATAATTAAAGATATTCATCGAAATACAGGCATCTGGCAGGACTTTTAAAAAAACATTTTTACGGAACATGTCTATATACTATTGTTGTTGATGGTTTTCACACATTTTTATTCCTGTCAGTATGATATTTATCAAAAAGGTAGTGAAAATTTCCTTGAGAAAAATATTTGACGTCACCAAAATCATTACGTTTTACTCACCCTTTATTTTATATTCAAATAGTAATAGCAAAATATCTTACGCGTTGACCCTATATTTTTATTGCATAAATATTTTCTTTTATGACTTCACTACATGTAAAAAAAATTATAGCAAAATTCACCGTGTTGATTTTTTATTATTTCACAATAATTATTGCGATATCGCGCGATATTGGCATCAAATATGGACATCAGAACGTGAGGGAAAATAAAGTAGAATCGCAGAGTATTAAGCAAATGTTCAAGAAAGATATCGTTACAAAGACATACATTTACTGAACATTATAAAATTAAAATGAAGGAAATCGGACGAAAATTGATAAGAACAGACCGGTTTATTGATAAAAAGACGCAATTTCGCCGCCACCGATAGAGGGCGCTTTGACGTCATAGTAACGCTGTTTATTTATAAAATAATACTGCAGAAGTAAAGCTTACATACATACTAGTTTTTGACCGGATATCACCCATATTCGAATTTGACCTAGAAATCACCAAAACAACCTACCTGATCAATTTCCAAGATATTTGGATCAAAACTGCAGCCACAAGTGCGTTAACAAGCTTTTTCTATTTTAAGCTCCTGTGACCTAGTCTTTGACCGGTCATAATCCATATTCGAACTTGACCTAGATATAATCAAAACAACCTTTCTGATCAATTTCCAGAATATTTTAATCAAAGCTGCAGCATCTAGAGCGTTAACAAGCTTTTTCTATTTTTAGCTTCTGTGACCTAGTTTTTGACCGGAAATGGCCCATATTCATACCTGGCCTGTATTTCATACAGATAAATATTCTGACAAAATTTGATTATGATCCAGTAAAAACTGTGACTGCTAGAGTGTTAGCATCCCAATTGTTGACGACGTACTACGCACGACGACGCACGCCGGACATAGTCCCATCACTATACCTAACCTTGACCACTTGCATTTATTTAAAAACATGGTTGAATAACATTCTATGAAAGGTCACATTAAATCATAAATTTAATTAAGATTTAATAAAACCAAAACTGTCATTGGAAACAGAAAAATGCTCGCAACCCTAGCAAAACTTTTTGGGTGTTCTGAACTTCTAACTATCATAACAATATATAACAAAAACCTTACGTTTTTTGTCCAACATGCTTTTGTAAAGAAATATGTTGGGTCCATGCCATAATGCCGATTTTTATCAATACTCATGATGGAATTGATAAAGCTGGATTTTCCTGCTCCATGTGGACCTAGAATCAACAAATTGATATGCTTTTCTTCGTCTTCTTCCATTACTTCTTTTTTCAAAGTCTGTGAGGTTAAATTCAAAACAGTTACAATTTTTACTTTTGATTTGTGAATCATTAATTAGTGTTCATCAATAGAAGCAATATGTTTTGAGTTTTATTTGACTATTCTTTATTTTAAATTATTTTTACTTAAATACTCTGAAGGGTGTCTTGTATTTCAATGACGTGAGATTTATTTCACATTACATGTTTCTCAACAAGACTTATTAAATTACAAGACATGAAATAGGGAACTATCGACAAATTATAACAGAGTCGAAATACGTTTCTATATATTTGTTTTTCAAACATATGTTCCACTTAAAATAACTAATTCAAACTTGGTTAAGTATTATACTTTTTAAGTTCATGGAAATACTGTCAATATATTCAAACATTGTCATAGTTTACCGATTGTTTTGTTTTCATATGTGTTGACATATCTTTTTAACAATGTCCCTCGTTGTTACGCCTTCATCGATGCATAACATATAATTATACATTTCGCAGAAGCCCACATTTTTACGCTTCATTCTAATTATCTAAGCTTTTGGTATTGAAGTTTCCCACTAGAAGAGTTAAATGGCATTTTCTTTGTAAGTCAACATAAACTAATTGTCATCGGAGCGGACAAGAACGGACGGACGACGTATTTATCATTGACATTTATTTTGCTAACTTATTGTCAAAGTTATAATTAGATTGGATTCCTTTTTGAAGTTTTATTAAAATGTGTAGCTTACCGATTTCGTTTATAGATTTTGCGTGACACGCTAGCATGAATAAAAATATGTATACGATTTCAGATTCAATAAAATATTTTTAAATTTCTGTTTGTTTCGAAATTATCTCTGTATATTTCAAAAGTGAACGTATTAACTCACTTGATTGTGTTCTCTTGTGCATTTGTTAGATAAAAAACCTATTGCTTACACAGATTTAAATGAAAAACCAATATATGCATACAATTGTGTTCCCCAGTAATAGATATGTCAGTAATGCATGTTATTTACAAAAGACAACTGAATAAAAAGTTCAAATGTATGGCTTAAACTAGATATTTTCTAAAATAGTTTCATCCACTATAGTCTGCCCAACCACATTTGAATATTCTTTTTTTATTAAATATGATAATTGTAAAATCATCTAAATTAATATCATGTTAATCCTGATGTCAAAATCTCTAAACATGTTTTTCAGTATTTTTTTAAGATAAAGACAGTGATATGGTCAAAATGTTAAAATTTATTTAATTTTACCCATGAAATATGGTGCTATATCAGTCAAATATATTTCATATTTGTAAAAAATAAATATGGAAAATAAATATGAAAGTGGGCGTCAAAAAAAAAACACAACAATAAAGATCAACAAGGTAAAGGCAACGTTCACAGAACGTAGCCCCCAACACACCCAAGTAGGGATACCCAGACAGAAGACACCTAAAAAACCCTGGAGTAGACATAAGGGATAAGGGCTTTAAGGGTGAAACGGGAGGAGGTAAAGAAATGGGGGATGAGAAAATATCAACCGTATACGACAATCCAACAAGGCAGACATCACAGAACATGTAAAATTCAAATCAAGTAACAATAAAAACATGAAAAACACGTGAAGGAACACAGAGGGGTACCGCCTTGGAACGGTCAGAGGTGGTTAAACCACTGGGGAGTTTAAACCGGTTTTAGGCGCGCCAAACCTCACTCTAAGCCCCAATATGTTCCTGAATGTCACGAAAGTGTAAATAAAATTAATTCCCTCCAAGTGAAATTCTAACAATGGTCATTGTTACATTAGACGAAATAAATAAAACACATTAAAGATTGTGTAAATATGTAGAAAAAGGTACAGCCTAATGACCATTACCAAAGTACTCGCTACCTTAAAGGAAGGCAGAGAAATAAGAAAAACACCTACAAGGGCCCGACGAAGCAAGACAGAAGACCAACATTAAGACAATTCAGTCCCAAAGGGCTTTAAGAACTTTTAAAACTCATTTTATTTAAGGTAGAACACCTCCAATGGGCACTATAAGGAACTGTAGAATTGACAACATAGGTCAGTTATTGCCTTAAATGTCACCTGTATGCAAAATTAAAACAAAATTTATCGTGTGGTTTATGAGTTATGGACATTTTTCTGAACTACAACTTGGCCATTAGAAGGGCTTTTTTCAGAAATGAGGAAACTCTAAATAATCTATGATATCATCAATATGAAAAAATGTTTTCCTATCGCTAATAATAATGACATTTAGGTAACAAATTAAACAAGCAAAATGATTGTTTTTAAAGAAAATGTTTTTAATATGTATAAATAAGTAACCCTGCCCATCCACTTTTAACACTTATTTGACCATTTCCCTATGTAAAAAGCTTTATTTAAAACATCACTAACATTTTCCACAATGAGGGGCTGTTTTCAAAGTTTGCCTAAATTTTCTTAAATGTACATTGGTTGGTCTTGCAAAATATAAAATACTTTTACCGTGTAGTTTTTATTTTATTAAACTTTGAAAATATCTGGTATCATATTTGCTATTAAATTTGGTATTATTTAGTAAATAAAATACCTACAATAATTATATAATTAAAATGAAACACTTTTTTCTTCCATTAGGGATCTGATAGATTAATAAAAAATGTAAAAAAAAAGTTGCTCCTTTTGGGGTTTGAACCCACGCTCCTCAGTTTCAATACACTTTACAGTAATTCTAGCCTATTTGAATACTCTTCAAAGTGGAGATAGTGCATTAGGGGTATACTACCTTAAAGGGACTTTTTTAGCCATTTTATTTTAAAAATCTGATAAATAAAAAACAACTTTTTTTGAATTTTGTTGTTTTGAAAAACTATCTAGAATGATAGAGAATGGTCTAACTAATAAAAAAATCCGAACACCAATATCTTTAACTCAGTCATTTACGCTGTACAGACGTTTTAAGAGTGCAAAACAAGACGAATCTATAAATAATGAATATATTACTGCGCGCGGTACAACTGCAGTTGCGTAGCAAGCAAGGGGATTCGTAACTATTTTTAAATTAAATAAAAATGTTATTCTTTCGTTTTTCGTGAAGTATGGTATATATTTTCACTCAAAATAATAAAATGCCACGATCCGACTCGAGAAAATATGTGGCATTTTATTTATTTCTTACAAAATATATTCCATATTTCACTCAAACGAAGAAATATCCTCTTAATATTTTGTCCCGCTGACTAAAGTTGTAACCCGACGTGACGTCCATTTTCAAATGGCGGCGCCCATATTGGCGTCATTTAGGGTTTGTCTCACGATTAACGTTAAGTGTTCGAGGTAATTATAAACCTTTAATTATTCTTATTTAATTACTGATCAATATCTAAATGTTATCATTAATTTAAAATGAAAAATGAGAACAAAGTTTGTGTAAAAAGGCAATTTTACTATCAAACCATTGTTAAAAATGATCGCAAATTAAAACCATTTGAAGTAAACAATCAGTTATATTGATATGTGAAAATATACCAAAAATATATAACTAAAAATTTCAGTTTCGCTTCACAAATATCGTAAATAATAATTGTTACATGATAAAAAAAATATTGTGGACATATAAAAATAAGACATTTGTAATTGATATTTTTTTTAAATCGGTACGGAATTATGAAATTTATTGTCTTTATTGTCTTGTTACATGCATTTCTAATTTTTGATCGGAAAAAAATGCCTCATTAAGTTGTTTTCTTTGAAGTGGTTGTTGATTCTTTACAATAACAGTTACATTGCAATTTCTGACATCAAAAGCGAATCAAACCAAGCCATTATTTTGATTAGAGCAAATTTAAACATATCTGTCGGAACACATGTGTGGATAATTTATGCAAGTTGATACCTCTTCCATTTTGAACGAGCCAGACATACAAATGTCAATATAAATATTATTGGCAATCAAAAACAAAAATCTGGGACTACTGTGTCTTTTTTATAAATCTTGCTTACAAATTGAGACATGTGTACGGAAAATGTTTAACCGGTTACTGAATAGTTAAGTGAATGACCGAGTTGTTCAAAACTTTTGTCAAATATTCAACATTGACATTATTGTCAAATTAACAAAAAATTGTAAAATTTCTATGTTCAATTTTGTTGTTAAGGCGTCCTTTTGTTCAAACAAATTTGTTAAATAATTTTGTTAAAAAGTCAGTTGTTCAGTTCAGTTTATTTTTGTTAATAACATCTGATCTCAGATCTAGTTTTTACAAAGATTAAACAACAGAAATAAATCATTCCTGGACGTTAATTAATTATTGTTAGTGGTTACAATAAAATTGAAAATGGCTGGTTTGTTTGTTATTCTACTAACTAGCAATGTAGAAAAGAATATAAAGAAAATACAGCTTACTTAAATAGTTTTACGCCTCGGGAATGCTGGGAATAATATCGACATTTATCAGATGGTTTTTCATTTTCTTTGTGATTTTTTGAGTGACAGATTCACAAACTAAACACTCATGCTCTTAGTGTCAGAGAGAAAGTGTTCATTGCAGTGAGGTACTATGCTACCGGTTCCTGTATGTAAACTGTTGGGGATACACTAGGAAGAGACATATCTACAGTGTCCTGAATGATTGGTTGGTAACAATGTATTTGCATAGTGGTTTAAGGTATGACAACATGTATTTGATTAGGCAAAAAAAAACGTTGTTTCTTTTTTAAGATTATGCTAATGCTTCAGAAAACTTGCACATTTTTACGCCTATGTATGATACATAGCATATTCTTGCAGAGCAAATCAAAATGCTGTATTTCATAGTTGTCAGAAACTATAGTTATGTTGTACAGTAAATTCAGTAAAAAAACTTACTTTCAATCATTGTGCTTTAATCTCATTAGAAATTCATTAAAAAAGATTTTAAATACTTTAAGTAAATTCATAAGTGTCAATTCTAAATGGTCAGGATCAGACCATAACAGTTTTAACTTCAAATCACAAGGACACACACATTATTTTAATTGAGGACCATATGACGCTTGGAATTGTACTAACGTGTCACATTGAAGGTATCATGAAAACCGCAATATGAACATGTTTGCATGAACATGGGTATTTAACCATATTCCTTTTTAAATGTTGTATTCCATTTAAGCCGGTGCTAAGGGAAGTGTACGTTAAATTGGACTCTCCAGTTCAGGCAATGAACAACCTCAACGAAACCGAGCCTGCAACATTTTAAATTTTGCCTTGATGGGCCTTAGGGATTTTGTTTCCTTTTTTGGAGGTTCTTACTCCTTGGAGATAGTGGGTATGGAGTTCAATAAGAAACGTATTGGATATGGAGTTCAATAACAAACGTATTGTTATTACTTTCTTGAATTATTCTATCAATCTGTTATATTTACATTTCACCTGTCCTGTAAAAATAATCGATTTCAGTTATGCTTGTATGAAATATGTGATGGCACATTACAAAAATGCAGACACACCCTGTAAGTAAGTTCGCTTCGAAACCAGAGTTGCATTAGAAATGATCAATGTTGTTATATCTTTTTAGTCGTTCGGGATCATTGATGTCAGCACTTAAAATTGTTGGGAATTGACTTTCGCTCAAGCCGGTGATTGAGGACTTGAGGGATCTTGTACTTATTCATTATTCCTCATGTGCAGTCTCAGTCAAACCGAGTCTGCAATTTTTATGTAAGTTTGTTGTAATTAATGTTTCCGAAGGATCACTTTGTTTCCAGATTTTCATACTGAATGTTCGTGTATTCAAGCAGACTTTTATTTTTACTAAAATTATGCTGATAAAAAGTACAGGATTTTTATGCCTCAAATGCGTTTTATTGTTATTTATTGTTATTTATTGTTTAAATGCTAATAAACTCAAGATGAACTCATCGAAAACAGAATTCATAACATTTGGAAGTTCTCAACAACTCGAAAAGTGTCACCTAAAATCCATTTGTATTAACGGAGATAAGATCAACTGCAATGTTAAACTATCTTAGAATAAAACGCATTAGAAAATACCTCACCAAAGAAGCAGCTGAAATACTAGTTATAGCACTCGTAATGTCACACTTGGATTATTGCAATGTCATTCTTTATGGTGTATCCGATTTTGAATTGAAAACAATGTAACGTATTTAAAACATGTGCGCAAAGTTAGTTCTGCAACGAAAGAAATTTGACAGTTCAAGGCAAGCATTGTTCGACATTCACTGGCTGCCCATCAAATCTAGAATCGAATATAAAATTTTGACTTTTGTAAACTATTGTTCAATCGGTCATGCTCCAAAGTACCTGTCTGAACTCCTAACTAAACCAGTACCAAATACCCGACTACGTTCAGCTAAAACCTCTGAGAACTGCTACGTTATTCCATTCAATAAAAGAAAAACATTTAGTGACAGAGGTTTCGGAACTATTGGTCCAAAATTGTGGAATCCGCTGCCATTAGAGTTGAAACAATCTAAGAATATTGATGTATTTAAGAGAAATCTTAAAACACATTTTTTCAGAAAGTTTAAATCACACTATTTTAAAATCTGAAATGAGATAAACATGAGTAACGTATAACTGATGACTGACAGTGTGATGAATGTGCAATGTAAATGAATGTTTTATTCTTTTTAATCTATTTGTAATCAAGTAACATGTATGTTAATAATCTTATCTCATGCTACATGTATATCAATCAGTTTTATCATTTTATGGTCTCTGCCATTTTTTAGAAATATGTTAATTGGAATTGTATGTAAAGGCTTTTATTTCATTTGATGTTGATCCACATATTTTTATGCATTCACAGTTTTATTCTCGTTGTTTATATGTACTGCACAACGCCGTTGAATATTGTTTAATAGCAACAGGCGTTTAATTAATTAAAAAGTTTCAAGTTTCAAGTTTGATTTTCTGTACATGATGTAACCCTTTTACCTTGTTGTTTAATAGTGAACGAAACGTTTGGTAATTTAACGCTTTGTTAGCTAAAGAAAGTTTTATCATTGCTTTGAACAACCAAAATTTTAAAATTTCGATAGCTCACGAACATGTTAAAATTAAAAATCGTGTATTGATAGTCTCTGATATAATAAAAATTACCTCTATGTCCCAGGTTGAAGATTGCCGCCATGGTTGTGGATATATCCAACTCCACAAATAATTTAAAAGTCGGGACATATTCAATATCGCCTTTTCGTAGATATAGTTGTTTGGCACTGAAAAAAGTGTACAACATATATTTGACATTAAGGATAATACAATACTCTACAGATTATGTATGTTTATTATATCTTTGAAATTGTATTATTTAGGTTTTATATCTAGTGTCACACGGTGGGAATAGATGTGCAGTCTGACCGGGGCACGAACCAGGGATACTGAACTGCGGCTCTACCAACTGAGCGTTCCGGCAGCTAACAAACTAATGTTTTGAACGTTTGTTTTCGTTTCTTTATTTAAACTGTATTCAATCACAAACGCATGCATTTATATTGCATGTTGTGTTTTACACTTGAAATTTGCAGTTCAATTATTAGATATATCAATTTTTTCTGAAATTTAAATTGAATTTATTTCTAATCCCTTAAAAATGTAACTAAATTCGACAGAATTTATTTTCAAAAGAAAATATTGGGGGAAAACAGTTGGAAAAAATCAAGTTTGTGTAAATATTAAGCGGATTTTTCCAGTTAAAATAAATGACAAAAAAGTAAAAGATTAAAATATATATCAAGCATATGTTGATGTTTTTCTCTACAATGTTGGAAAAAAGAAAACCAATCGGAAAATATGTAATGAAGGAAATAAACGAAATGGAATTTCACTTTTTCGGTCGGTCGACAATTTTGTTAAAATTAATAATTTTGAGACGCGTAAATATAGCGTAAATTTGAGTCAAGTATTGTTAATTTACTCTTCATCTATCATGTGAAATAATTTCTTAATGTTAAGGACACTTTTAAATGCTAGTGAAGTTTGCCACCATCCTGGTGGTGCAAAGATTTTCCGGTGGTTGTAACTAACGTCTCGTAGATGATTTTGATCCATATCGCCATTTACTTTTCACGATTCATTTGATCTCAGTTTTTCAATTAGATCAAAAGATCAGCCGGAAAAGCAAACAATAAAAATACTAAGTCTTGATATTCTTCTTATTCAACAACATAAAAACAAAATACAATGATAGAATTACTGTAATTTACAGGCATAAGGAATATTACTGTTTGTTAAAATTATACGTCCGTGTGTAAGGTCGATTGCAATTTTAACTCCACTTCCTGGGAAAAGGAAGAACTGGCGCCGAAAGAAAAAGAGTTATGGTCGTAACCCGAGTAGCGATCAAATAAATACAGAATCAGTAGGTTAAGACTATGACCTCGTAAACACAAGGCCACTGACTTTAGCGCTATTCAATTTTCAAACTTAAATGTTTTTGAATCAATTATCACGACGAATGATAAGCAAATTAACAGCACTGGTATTATTTAATAAGTTAATTGATTTGCGGTGCCAAAGAACACATATTATCTGCTGTTAAAGGGTAGATCTCTAAGACTGAAGTGTAAATAAAAGTATTAAATGAATAAAATATGGGATGTAATAAATGTGATACAAAGGGCATTGATACAATTATTGCAACATTGCCCATTTTCTCACGTTTCGTTGTCTATTGTGAATCAAAATCGACCTTAGCAAAAACATTATTTAACATTTTCAGTTGTAAAAAGGCTATATGTTTTTCAATTAAATGTACCAAAAACGTTAACGTGCACCATGTGCGTTCAAAACAAACCAGCAACACATTAATCATATTTTAGGTCAACATAATGAAACGTGTTTTTAATCTGTAATAAATGAAGTTGGATATCTCCTATACAGCCTTAAATAAATTGTGATAACTACATTTCATGAAATTGCATGTAAATACACAGGGTTTGCATCTTGGTTACCTAGGTGTTGTAACATTAAGTAAAAAATGTGTCATTTCAATAGATACGACCACCTCAGACCACGAATTTCTTTGATTCGGAGTTTTTTCAAATGATTTTCAAACACAGTGTTTGTCAAAACTAGGTTTTGTCGCTTCTTTTTTCGAGAGAAAATTTAATTTCATTACTACATATTACTTTTCTAAAATTTCTATATAAGAATGCAGGTAAGTATGTAAAGAAGCATGTTATGTCAGGAATGTCACGAGCAACCGAAATTGTGATCTCATGTTAAAACTAAGATACGAATATTTGCATGTCTTTGTATTACAAAAAATTTACGATTTTTTAATTTTGATTATATCTTAACTTCAATTTTCTTGACCAAACACATCAAAACTCATCAGCGTACTCAATAACAAATCAAATTAAATGATTGTACATATTACACAATAATTCAAAATGGTTAACATTTGGAAGCAGTAATATAAAGGAAGACAGAATCATTAAACCTATGTTTTGTGGATTTGCATTCTACCTGCAAAGTAGCTTGTTTGTTATGAACAGCACTCTCTCGCGGAAGAATCTGGCGAAACATCCTAAACTTAGATAAAAAAAGAGTTTGGGGAAAAATTATGTTTACTCGCTTTTGGAGACAGTAAAACATGCCACGTTTTTATTATTTAACAATTTGAACAGACGTGAATGCCTGTTGTAATGAAGGAGAGTAAACGTTTAGTACTTATATTTCCTTACGACAAGAATTTAGAGTTTTAACACACTTTTTTTAAATGATCTATGATATCATTTAAGCTTTAGAATTTTAGCAGACAATGGCCTGCATTTCATTAAATTCATCGTCAGATTAAAATGTATCGTTATTGTAAACGGATAATAGACCAAGGTATTGATTTTGATACTTTAAAGATAACATACACACTGGTTTATTATTCATTAACAATATATATACAAGTGTGTATGTGCATGGTCTGCTAAGTATTCATAGAGAACCAAGAATGATTTAAAAACTATTTCTAAAAGTTGAATAGTACCAACTACAGCTTCTTTTTAAAAAAAACATCATTTTAAGATTTTTCTACGTTATTTATGTTTTGAATATTTCTTAATCTTTATAAGTTACATCTCTGTGTTATTATGGACAGCAGATACGTTGAAATGTAAGACAAATAATGTTTGGCCAATTTTTGCAAAAAATCATCGAAAAAAGGCCACTGCAAAGACAGTACAATTTACGCCCAAACTTGTTTGAATAATAAGACAAAATCTTTTAATAAGTGTAGAGACCCAATTAGAACCTTGAAGAGATTTTTACTCTAAACGCATGATTCATAAAACTTTTATAGACGTCTACTAGACAATGCTATATGTTAAACATAGAGGGCAGAGTTTCTATTCACAAAAATATGGGGTCCTTTACCTTAATCAAGTTAAAGCTAGTGACTCAAAGGGCAGGGCCAATTTTTACCTTTATCAAAAAAGGTCAGGCCTGCCGTCTGCACATTGTTTCATTATGGTTAACATTTCAACCAAGAAATTTAGTTTTATTTCCTTCCATCGGTTCAGAAACTACAGATTGGACACTAAAGAAATCCCCGGGGCGGTGCCAATTTTGATCTCAGGAATCCCACACAAGTGTTATGCACTGGTAATATTCCGACGTATTTCTATCGGTTTTAAAGATACAGAGCGGACTCGAACTTTTGAAATTGATATAATTAAAAAAAGACTAAGTGCTATCTGCCGATTGTCTCTTACGGGTTAACAAGTCGGCCATTTTTTTCCGGGAGTATACCAATGTTACAAACAAAAGATTAACCATAAACATGTATGACATATGGAGCTAATATGAAGTTCTGTTCATATGTATGACTTCAATAAATGCAAATAAAACGTAATAGCAACTGAAATCATAATTAAATAACGTGACCTTATTCGAAATCCCCAAAGTAAACGGATTTATGCTAGATGATATTTTATCTAAGTAGGAACATAAACTGACAATCAATTACAAAATTATGATCAATTCAAACAAAACGCAAAACTTTTACCACAACGGTCAATGTTATTTAAAGGTATATACAGTCAAAATATCAACAAAAATATCAAAATGATATTATAAACTCGAATCACGCTAAAATGACATTTTTTGTAAAATCCCAGCATGAATTTCTTCATTAAATTCTATATATTTTGGGTTTAAAATGTAAATATATCTACATTTCATGAACGAAGTTTAGAAGCCAGCAGAATCACAAACAAGTAAAACAAGTTTTGTGACTTGAACAAACCCTGGAACTTCCAATAACAGATATTGTGGATATTGTATTATTGTAATAAGTCTAAGTCATTCATTTGACATGCTCTTTAACGTTTCTAAAGTTCAATGTGACAACTAATGTGAAATCTTAACGCTCTAAGGCATAAGTGACATTTTTGGCTGCAAATATGTGAGATAAAATGATTTTTATAAACCTCTAATATTTTGTTATAATTCTTATAAATACAATACAAATCAAAAAAATTGTCATCACTGCATAGAATAAATAAAATTATATCTTACTTACTTTAAAACTTGAATGATATTTCGAAAATATTTTAACACAACAACTATAACTGTGTACCTCACTAAACGCTAAAACAATGTGGCGTTGTAATCACGTGAAAGATATTTAATTTTGATATCTGTCTTTACAACAATATAATTTAATCATTTGTCGCAAAAGATCTGAGACTATTGCGTGACAGACATTGCTTATACTTTGTAGACTTAAAATGTTTTTGTAAAAAAACGATTTAATTAAACAAGAGAGCAAAGATGGCCCTAGATCGCTCACCTGACCCATCGACCTCGGCAGTTTCTTAGGCACCTTGACCAAGTTTGATGGCAATTTGGTCAAAAATGTATCCTCTAGAATGTTAACAAGGTTTTTACATATTTGGGCTATATGACCTAGTTTTTGACCTCAGGTGACTCATATTCGAACTTGACCTATCAATCATCAAAACAAACTCTTGCATTTCCAGGATATTTGGATAACAACAGTAGCCACTAGAGTGTAAACATCATGTTTCTATTTTGAGATGACCCATGTTCAACTCATTCGAGCAATTACCTAAACAAGCATCCTGGCAACGTTTGATGATAATTGAGGGAAAAATGTAACCACAAGAGTGTTAACGAACAAATGTTGACAGACGACGGACGACAGACAACGAACGACGGATATTCAACGATCCAAAAAGCTCATTCGTGATAGAGTGTAACAAAAATGTAGAAAGATAAGTGAAGGATACAATTTTATATTATCATAAAGTATCCATGAGTGATTGACAAAGATATGACCAGACACAGCAATTAATGTACTTTTGATATTAAAGTTTAACCGTCACCTATTACACTTTCGACATGGCATTTGCGTTTGATAAGTATGGTAATGAGCATGAAGATCAACAAAGAAAGACACTCATAGGACGCAACCTTCACAATCCATGCTCACAAGCAGGATACGAATTAAAAATGGGGAGAGGGCAAAAGGGCAGTAAAAGGAGGAAAAGGATATGTAATAAGTAAAATTATATGAACTAAAAGTGCGGGCCGATATAGGAATTTTTGAGGTGACGGGTTGTACGGAAAACTTGGGGACAGTTCACAAAATAGGATAAATGTGGGTTGGTAAATAAATTCTTACCGTTAATGATAAAACAACATAATACAAGAGACATGGCAATGACATTGTAGATGAAAACATTTTACGAACCTTTTCTGCAGTTAAAATAGAAATACAAGGAAGATGCAATGTAACTATGTGCTATGTGCGATGTAAATCATTAACAAGATTTGTTTTTTTAAAACATGTAAGCCCGTATCGGCAGCAAATTAGTAATGTAGCAAGGTTATTGTTTAACTTATTGACTTTTGACCTAGTGACCGAAAATCAATAGGGGTTATATACTGACCAAGACCAATGAAAATGTGATGTTTGAAGTTAAAGGGTCCATGAGTTGTTGAGATATTGATCAGGAACAATTTTATCTATTCGGTCAATCTGAGTTTGACCTCTGACTCCCTGACCCTAAAGATCCCTTGGCCATCTTCGGACCAAAATCAATACATGTGTAAAGTCGTAAAAATGGTAAATGGTGGTTGTAGAATGAAGAAGCCAGATAATGGTCCTTTGTCATGTCCGCAAGAGTGTTATGATATCATGCTGCATTGTTTGGATCTAATTCCTAAAAAAGACATACATTCTTCAGTATTGTTTTGCTAAACAATTATGCCAATCAAGATACAAATACAACAGCTGGAAAAAAGATAATGTTCTGTACAAGGATGAAACCGAGACAGACAAAGAAAGTAAAAATGCGTGCGTGTACATGTTAAATACTAAAACTACATAAATTTATCCCCTGTTACTTTCAGCTAGAAAAGACAAATTATATTTATGATCTAGTCAGACTTTTTTATTATAAAAAGTAAATGTGATTTTATGTGTCTGCATTAATGGTTGACAAGGCAAGATGATATACACGTTAATCGGTGAATTTACACAACTATTTCATTGTATGTGACAGGTCTATTTGTAACGGATAAACCTATTGAAACTAAGAAACTTAGTTATGAGGTTTTTCTTTTGTACGTGTACAGGTCTGGTCTTGCCAGACAAACCCAGTTCTTATAAAACACGATACCTTCGTGCAGACAAAGAAAACGTTGAATGTAATAAGAAAAATACAGACAAATAAATAAATATTAATGAATTATGTGAATAATTTTTGCCAAATATTCCTTTTAATGAAAAATAAACAGAGGACGAGTATTGAAAAGTTTTAGCTAGATGTGCGGATAAAAACATCAATAGGTGAAAAATCAACAGAGGTTCTCTTTTTTGATTAATTTGAAGATAATATCTAAACATTTTTGAAATTCATACAAATTGTTCTTAAACATGATTGTGAATTATATAACTATGAGATTAAATATTTTCATAGACGATATAAACAAAAGGTTTACGATTATGCTGCTATTTTTTTTACTTAATATGGCAGATAATTGTATTTATAAAGAGGATATTTAATAAGTGTAGGTATACTATTAACTTTATTGGTTTAGGTTTAATACTTACTTTATTGAACGAGTTGAATAAACGTATAATGCTGTTTATTTCAACTCGTTTGGAATCTACACGAATATAATAATTTATTTAAACATACTCAAAATAAGAACGATAACATCTAAAAAGGGTCATTTTTTTATTCACACTATAGTGTAACGCTATCATTAGCGCGCTTTTACGCTATGTTTGTATATAACGCCAATGACGTCACGTCAATGTGTTATTCACCTAGTGTTATTTCGTGTTTATTCAGTTGCGCCGTGACTTATTTGATTAATATAGATGAAATATGTTCGATTAAATATGTTCTATGTTTATGTTTATGTATATCATGCACATATTTTTTAGCGAAAAGGTGATTACATGTGTTATTTAACACAATTTGTGACTTGAATTTTAAAATTGTATATAGTAAGCTGGAATACGATATCAAATCATATTCAATGAGACACTAGTCAATAATTGTTTAATTACATGAATAGGCTATAAGAATGAAAAGAACCTCATACATGTACAACTTTTGCCTGTTTCGTAGAAGCGCGGGAAAAAAGTCGCATGTGGAAGGCGTGCAACAACTACCGGAGCGCTGCGCATACGAAAAAAGTAATTAAAAGTAATACTCATCATTGCGGAGTAACTTTAAAAATGATTACATGTATATTTTAATCAAAGAACAATACGCAACAATAATATTTCAAGCACGTGTAATTAACAGTCTATGATATTTGGGCATCGAATATTAGTCTCAATCAATTTTTAAACTGAGAAAATCCAATTTAGCCAGTGAATATGATACTGCACCCAGTTAATATGATTCGACAAAAAGTTCTCTTGACAACTGTTTGGACCAATGCGATTGCAGCTATATTAAGATCATATAATAAACTTTTTGATGGTTAAGTTCTTTCTAATCAAATATAGTATAATAGTTTTATGATCAAATAAATTTAGGAGGACTGTCACACAAAGTATGATATTCTTTTAAAGTTTGTTTATCACGAATATGTCATGTTGTATAAGATTCGCTTAATTTATTTCAGAATTTTTAGAGCAATAGCTCAACAGTAGAGTCTTGCTATGGCCTCGAAAATATTGGTGCTATGAATTATATTTGGTATTTTCATATATCTGAAAGAATAAAGGCAGTTATTGTGTTGCCTGCTACTCAAATAAATATATTTGTATGTGACGTTGTCTGATTCCTTTTAAATGCTTCACCTATAGTCGTTTATAGGGCAAACGCCTATGTCTATTGGAGATCATTTGCTGCCTTTTTAAGAAATGTCCCAGAAATATCGTATTTTTATGATCACCACAGTATCAAAGATTGTTTGTTTTACATTCCACTTACACATTAGAGGTCATATAACGGCCCTCAAACTATACTGCTGTTTGAGAAGGTAGCCCAACAAAGGTGTACATTGTGCCAGGCACGAGTGGGCACCTGAATAAAACCACTTGTGTTCCGTAAATAAACACATTTGCAAATGAAATCTGCTATGATTTGGAATATATTGTGTAATGTTAAATTGAATTTGCAGTTCATATTTCTTTCTTTTTCACTGGTGGAACTGCTTATGGACAGTGATGCATATAATGTTGTTACTAATACCAAATAGTTTAAAATAACACAATTAATTTCCGGTACAAATTTTCTTCATTGTTAATAAAATGCGGATCCTAATATTTCAGTAGATAACAATACTATTCACACCAAAATCTATGATAAGAGAGATGATTTTGGTAAAGTCAATTATCCTTATTTAGATGAAGATGTATCTTATGTAACATTAGACAGGGTATATGTATCTCAATTAAATCCGCTAGAGCATGTAGCCAAGTATATGATTCTAATGACGGAATATTTTCATTACTAGCAAACTTCTGAGACAGGGTTCGCTGTCATAAATTAAGGAAATATTTTTACTACATATTATAACCGTAATTTCGATTTAATTTCAATATTTTTAAAAGCTGTTTGAAAACTCTTCTACGACTAAGGATTAGCAAGCATTTATTCTATGGAGATGTGGTTTATTAACTTTGTAACATATTGGGTCATGGTAACTTTTCTGCTGTCTTTATTACAAGTATTAAACGTTTAATTAAAAACTATTTAAAGACATACAACATCCTAAGTCTTCAACACTTTTACCATGTTTACAGTTGACACTTTGCTTTTCTCTTTTGATTGCATATGACGACTCCATGGTGGACAGTTCTTAAATCCCCTTGGGACAGAATTGTTTTAATTTCCGTCTTCTGTCTTGCTTCGTCCTGAGTTGTTAGAATTTCGCTTGGCGAGGAGTTATTTTCACTGTTTTGTTTAAAAGGCACATATTGAGACTCAGAGTGATGTTTGCACCATTAACCGGTTTTAAGTCCTAAGCAGTGCGTATGCAGCTAACCGTTCAAAGGCGGCGTCCCTCTGTGTTCCTCGGATGTATGTCTTGTTTATGTTACTAACAAATGTGGTGACAAGTGAGAAACCTTTATCTAACAATATTATCCGTCAATCGCAACAATGGAAAATGGGTTGTCTTATAATAGAAACGATTACCATTTGGAAATGAAAAAATGATTCCATTGCTATATTTACCTCATGTATAAAGAATTTCGAAATAAAAACCTTTCTTTTCTTTTACAAGGATTTTTATATATAAAAATATAAAAAAATTATATTAATATCAATAAAAAAGAACACTTATGTATACTTTAAACAAATGTGAATTCTGTCATTTTAAATGAGACTAAAGATGAAGAAAGATTGATTTATATATTTATATCTTTATTTTTACTTTCTTACAAAAAAACACATCAGTATTGAATAGATAAATATAGAATCCCTAAAGAAAGCCCAACACAGCAAAATTGAAAATGTTGCAGGCTCGGTTTGATTGAGCCTGTTCATGGACGGTACTGGAAAGTGCAAGTTACCGTCCACGCCCCCTAGCACCGGCTTAAGCAGAATTCAACATTTAAACGTGAAATAGTAAAATTTTGAATTTAGAAACATCCGCAGATGTGTTCATACGGCGGTTATCATGGAACCTTCAAACCATTTGAATACATTGATTTACGTTTTACAAAACACAACACGTTAATAGTTCGATCCTTTGTCCTGATATTGATTTATTACATTAATATGAAATCCCATTATCAAAAAGTAAACACTTTTTTCATTGAGATAAAGAATTAAACTTTTAACGTAGCATATCAGTTTGTGACGTGCCAAACATAATCTGAATAATGAAACTGTTATTCGTATTTTTTAAGCTGTTTAATGAATCAAAAATGGGGAAAAAAGAGTGTGTTACTTTAAAGTGTATTGTTCTTGGGATTTTAAAATTTGTTTGCCTTTACAAAGGTGAGTACGAAATCTATTTCAAGGGCTATTGTTAATATTTAAATGCTAAGCTCAAGTCGATATTTACTGCTTCTTAAAGACAAATTTATAGATAAATCCTGTCAAAAAACGCGAAAGTCGATCATCATATAGGCGCTTAATAATATAACATAAAAGTTACCTAGTTGTCTTGAACAGGCTAAAAACAGCAGATCAATAACAACTACAGCTACAGTATATAACAAAGTATTTAATTTATATTAAAGACAAAGAGTATCTTCATTTGTTAATGTGTCGTCAAATGTGAATTGTAAATCTCAAGTCAATATTATAATAATCTTACATGAGCTAGGTATTCCTGTCTGTAAACAACAGTCGGTGTTTGATCCATTTTCTTGCATTAAACAAATAAATGATATTACGAAAGGAAATCACGTAACTAATATTTTGATTTAGTATTTTTGTTCTCATAGTAGGATATAAATTTACAATTTCATTCATAACGGCAAATTGACGCCTGGTGAGAACGCAATTCATTCATAAAAGGCGCGTGGGTGGGAATGACGTCATTTAAAACACACGATTGTCTTACATGGGGGGTGTTAGTCAGGTTTTTCTAGCACTAATGTTAACAGTAGATAATCCCCTCTGATATGCAAGAAAAAATATGATCTATGCGAAACGAAATCTGCAAGAAAGAGTTTCAATATAATCAAAAATATTAAAAAACAATTCCATGTAAAAAAACAGTTAAACAAGTTTCATTCATAAAGGACAGAAACAGTGTATTATTATTAATTCATTCATACATGTAGATATACTTTCATTTATTATCACTCATTTAAAAAAATTATTTCACATACAGAGGCGTCTAGACGTAGGACATAAGGAGGCATTATATAGTTTACTTAAACCGTATGTCTTTGTTAAGTTTGGTTTGTAGTCGAAGGAAAGGAATGTCTATATATTACAAGTTTCACAAACTACCACAAAATAAAGTGGATAACGGAATGTCGACACGAGATTGGCCTGTCCTATCCTTAGGAGAGAAACGGGAATAAGGATTTCTACACCGTTTAACAATCCCGGTGGTAAATTATTTTATAATTTACTTACCCGAATATATAAGCTAATATAAGAAACTGTCCTTTAATGCGTTATCATCTGCGGTTATTTCAAAGTTCATAAAGTCATATTTAAAAGTCGAATTCTGCTTAAGCGGTGCTATGGGGCGTGGACGGCAGTTTACACTTTACAGTACCGTTCATGGATGGATAGGCGCAATCAAACAAACCATGCAACATTATCAGTTTTGCCGTTTTAGGCTTTCTTTATGTATTCCTATTTTCTTTATTCGGTTTATTTGTTATTCAAAGATGTTGTCCTGAAAGAGGAGCGGAATTTACATATAAATTTATTTAATAAGTTTGATCATTTGATAATCTTTTTTTTAGGTCTAAATTTGTCAAAGGGGCATTTAGTGTTTAAAGGGATAAGCGTTGTCGTAGAAATCATAAGTTTGTGTTGTCTGTCTGGTGAAAACCGAAGCAAAGAGATAAATGGAGCTGCAGACTTTAATGGAACTTTTAGCTGTAAGAATACACCTGTTTCCTTTATTTCAAGTTTATGAAATAGGGTATATAACAAATTAAAAACATTAGGAGAAGTGAGTTAATGAGTGAAACAAAAGAAGAGAAATAAAGAAATATTACTGTTCAACAGCTTTTGCTGATCACTGAAATCACTCCAATTTTAAAACAAATGCACTCCTTTATCGTAAAGACAGACATGTTTTGTCACTAATTTATCAAGTCGAACGGTGCATGTGTGACTGAATGTAGTAGCCCCGTCTGATTAGGCCGACGAGACATCGGTAAAATTCTAAGTGATGACTTGGTTAACGTTTCTTCATACAATCAAATAGTTACCGCTTTTTTATAACAGTGTCGTTTTTTATAATTCGATAGAGAAAATATAGACAAACCCACACATTTGGTTGTTTTTAACTAAAATATACAAAATTACAAAAAGATGAATATTTGTCAATCAATGCGAATGGGTACACAAAGTAAATTATTTTTTATTAGTGAACATGTCAACAATTACGAACCTAGGTCTCTGTCTGTTGGTCGCTTCCATTAGGGCCTTAAATTGTTTAAATTTCACTCGATAAACACTCGCATATAAATAATGTTTATTGATAATTAAGATACGCTAATTGAAGCTCTTAATTATATGTCAGTTTTAATGTTCAACTTATATTTCAGTTGTTTTTAACGCTATAGCAACAATGAATTCGCACTACAATGATTTGAAAGACATTAAGGATATGTGTACCATCTGCTTTGTTGTTGAAGCTGTCTTGGTACGTTTTTTTCTCCTGTTTGCATGTTTGCAGATTTATGATACATTTAAGATATGATTTAATACATTTGATATGATATGATATGATATGATGATCATATGATATGATGATTTACAAATGATATGAAACATTTATGATGATATGATACATTTATGCCCTCTTTTTATGATGTCCCTTTTTCAACTATCTAGCACTGGGAAACGTGAAGCGCGCTGTCCTCGGATATGTCTTGCTTTTTATCTTGTTGGTAGAACTATCAGCATAGCATGCCATTGATAAAAAAATAATTAACGTTCATATAATAATATATTGCTCGTACATATTTGTTAAAATAATCAAAGTAAATGACAGGCAGAACATACAGTATTGTACAAAATAAATTATAATTCAGTTTGAAACTGTAAAAGATTTTGTAGATAAACATGTACCATTACAGATCTTCATGATGTTTTGCTGCTGCTCCGAAGAAGAAAAAAGACACAAATCAACCGCATTAAAAGAAACGGCATGAACATATCATGACAACCGTCAAAAATTGTTATCAACTTTATTTCTCATAAACTTAACATATTTGTTATCTTGTTACATCTTTTGAAACAGAAAACTCGTTTTCTTTGTTTTCTTTATGAATAAACATTTTTGCTACTTTTTTCTATTGGAAATGTTTATAGTGAATGAGTATTTTGTATGGAAGTAAAACACTCATCCCTACTTTCTTCAGTTGATTAACATCTAAAACGTCTAAATCTATTATCAAAGCATTATCAAATAAATGACATATCTGAAAAAGTGGATTTCTGAGGCATAATATGCCTTTAAATTGCTTTTTGGCATTTACTGCCTTTCTTTTGGATGTATGAAACATAAGTGAAGATATTTTTACCTTCTCTTTTTGAAATTAAGATTAACATGCTTAATTAACATACAATATGAAAGACTTATATTAAATTGTAGCATATATTTTTTAATTACTTGTATTCAAATAGGATTCAAATAAGGCTACAAATCACTTGAAAATATGTGAAATCGACCAGACCAGACTTACATGTCTACGTCCCCGCGAGGGATTTGACATTTATAGAAGATATGTATAAATGAAAAAAGCCATTTAATGCTTTGCCGAATGCGAAAGCTAGTTGATTATAAAGTGTATAGAAACATAGAAAGTGAAAATGCTTATTGAAATTTCTCTAATGTAAATAAAGGGTGAAGAAATATAACTGTAGTTCGATAATTTTGTGTTGTTGTTGTTTTTGTTATTCTTGTTGTTGATGATATTGTTGTTGTTGTTGTTAATGTTTTTGTTGTTTTTAATTATATTAGTAGGACCCCGTTCGAATGAACAAGACACCTTAACAAGTATCCTTAATTTATGTGCACTAAGACACTTTTATGTCAACAACAATAATAAAAAAACACATCAACAGATGCAAAACTGTCACAGACATTAAATATATTTTCGTTTGCGCAAACCTCTCAGCAAAAATTAAGTTTTACTTGTGACATAAAAAGAAAAAAAGTTTAATCATACTAAGCTCAAGTTATCAAATACATACATGATAAACAATCTGATGAAGTGCAACGCGGCAAATACATTGAATTAGCTCGAATTCGCTATACATTTTTTATCTGTTCCATCAATATTGACAAATAGGGGTGTCGACAATTGTTATATAAAAGCATACTAGGTTTCGCCTTAATCTTTATCAACCTTAACAATTACACCTTTTTTATCGCTCCAGCGAAATAGCGTAGTAATTGAGTGCTGCTTTCGTGTGTGTTTAGACCCTGGTTCAATTCCTGGAAATGGCACTTTTTCTTTTCTTATATGTTTTTCTTTTTTTTCTACGAACTGGATTTTAGTTCCTCGTGAGTTTATTTCACACAATACTATTTGAGAACATCTAGCATTACACACATTCGCCTTTAACAGGTTAAGTTAGAGGAAACACAGTCGTGATTAGAGTGATAAATGAGGAATGGAAGAAATTTAAATATATAAATATACAAATGAGCCGAAATTGTTAAAAAATGTAGCAAGTTGAATTAAGAGTTTTAAATCATTTTAAATTGACAGAACTACATGTATTCAATTTGATCAATGACTGTGAAAATCAAATGAGCCGCGTCACGACACAACCAACATAGTGCGTTTGCGACCAGCTTGGATCAAGACAAGCCTGCGTATCCGCGCAGTCTGATCAGGATCCATGCTGTTCTCTATCAGCTTCTCCACTTGTTATAGGATTTGTAAGCGAACAGTACGGATCCTGATCAGACTGCGCGGATGCGCAGGCTTGTCTGGATTCATGCTGGTCGCAAACCAATTATGTTGGTTGTGTCGTGACGCGGCTCAAATACAATCAGTTTTACTAAACCGATTTAACTGTAAATTGTACAAAATATAATGACAGATTTATAAAAGAAAATATGAAAATGTTTTATGACTGTAAAAACAATTGAGACACTGACAAAATATTGCACAGTTGCGGATTTAAACTCGAAAAACTATTTTCCTAACCTAAATTCTTCATAATCCGAACATTCTAACTACTACGCCACTTTTATTCCTCTATACTGCAATTAAATGCAAAATGTAATAACTGAATAACTTGCACGACCCATTATATCATAAAGGTACGATCGATTAATGTAAACTTTATCGTGTTCGAAGTATGTAACATCTATCAATTGATTGAGATATTGGTAAAAATATTGACTGTCAATATCAAACGCTTTGTAAACAATGGTACTGCATAGCTAGGTCAGATAAAATGCCTTTTTTGCAAGAAAAGCGTGCGTAACTGTAATACATTTGCACTTGACATAGCATTTAATAATTAAAAGCGGAAATGGTATATGAACTTTCATATGTTTTATATGTATCATTTTTATAAAGTGATGTGTACATTTAAATTGTAAAATTTTCGACTTTAATAGAACTGACTTGTTTTGATTTCATATAGTAACTCATTAAAAACATTCGCATAAATAGTGAATTTTACTACAGCAACGACAATTTGCATGCAGTTAACTGTAAGTTCCTATCTTTTTTATTATTATAAACAACGCATATCACGGGATTCTTTACTCAATTTAAACGCCCGTTTGAAAAACGGGACGTATTATGGGAATGCCAATTTTGTCCGGAAGATATCTCCTATACGCAGTGAGGATTTTAATGGTCATTCATAGAAAGCCTTAGCACTATAAAGCGGTGTCGCTCATATGAACAAGGTCAAAGATAAAGCAACAATGGAAAATGCTTGTCCAGGGCAAAATTACTACATGCATACATTGTAGGTAGATATCAATATAACTTGATATTATTGTTCACAATTTTGAGGCGGGATGTCGCGTGCGAAATTCAGCCACATACGATCAAGGTCAAGGTCAAACATAAACTTCAAAGTTTTGAAAAAATAAAACAATATGAAGATTTGTTACAAAAACATTAAGTTATCATTTATTGGTGGATTTCAACATAAACGATCATGGTTATGCCATATGTAATTCGTAGGTCAATATATGCAACGTCAAAGTTACCTAAGATGATGATTATGTTTGGAGCATATCTTCTACATGCATGGATGAATTCTTTTTTTATGGAAGTTTTATTTAGTTTAGTTTTTTTCTATTTACCACTCATTTATTTCGGGATTGTATCACAAATGGGCATTTGTGTCTCTTTGGCTGTAACTAATTAGGTTCAATTTATGCAAGGTTAAGGTCACTAAATATAATTTAAATCCAAATGTTGTCTGGAGCATATCTCCTATATGCGTCGAAGATTTTTTGTAATACTTTATAGAAATGTGTATCACTATGAGATGTGTTCCTCCACACATGATCAAGGTCTATAGGTCAAAGGACAAGGTACACTTGAAATAAATTGGAAAGAACGGGTCTAGAGCAAACCTACATTCATAGGGGAATTTGCATATAAATTTGCACAACTGATAACAATGTTAAGGCGGAGTGTCGCGCACAAGTCATGTTCCTGTGACCAGTGTCAAGGTCACACATAGAGATCAAAATTCAGTGGTCAGTGAATATACTAGTACCTCTTTATCGAAACGAAATAAGGAGTTACCATAACATGTGATAATGAAGTGTTATCATACCAGTATGACATTGTAGTAATCTTATAGAAGTCTTTGATCTTTGGACAGTTTAATTTAAATAAATGATCGCGCATCATGCGAGCTATGCGCTGATACCTAGCACCAGCTCTGACTATAAATAACACATAGGTTTGTGAGTGATAGTTAAATATAATCCCGAGGAAATTATTTTTACCCGATGCGTTAGCTTCTGATGATTGGAAACTATTTCCTAGCTTTTTTATTTTGATTTGTCCAACTTCCTATCTAACTGATCCGATACTAATGCCAGTCTTTGGGTATATTTTAACCCCTATCTAAAGTTTAAAGTTTGGTATGCTTATCAATACAATATGTGTGGTTTTGATCCCAAAACAATGATAAGTGTGCTTTTTCTTTAGCATCGAATCTTTATTTCTATTTACCTTCCCTGATTTTTAAACTTGTACATTTGTATAAGAACTACCTTTCTACATACCTCTCTCGAGTCATTTAATTGTACTTCATTTTAACTTCAACCATTTATAGATATATTTTCATATCCGTAAGAAGATGATTCTTCTTTAAATGTGGATTAAGTTTTACATTATTTTAGAGTTTTATACGTCTTATTCTGCTAACAGCTCGATTATTCCTGGCTCTTTTGCCAAATTCAAAGTGCGACATACCGATAGTGTTTGCTTAGATCTTTTATCACATAGACGACAAGTATGTTCCTTTGATAATTCGGGGCGATGTCATAAGTTTCCATAGACTGTAAATAACTAACTATACAATCCTGTTATGATCATAAAAGGTGAACTTTTTTAAAAAAATTATGGAAACCAATAAAGCAATGCTGAGTTTGGGTTTAGTATTTAAGGACAGTTTTTGGTGACAAAGTTTCGGCGTTTTAAGTATTTAGATAGTTCTGCTGAGGTTACATGGAATACTTTTATTACGAAAAATGCTCATAAGTAAAACTATTACTTTTTTGTCCGAAGAAAAACCCTTACATCTTTGCGCAAAAATGTTGTAATTGATATAAACGTCCACACTCTATATCATTGAATGTAAGTGAATTGATAATTTTCATACAGTAGTTGATGATTAAGCTAGACATGAACAAAAATAAAGATAAGTTAATACGGCAGTATTCTTGTAAGACACGTAGTGAATAACAAATAAAGATGTAATTTGACAAAAAAAGAATGTTCGTGCTTGATAATTTCAAAATGATATAAGTGTAATATTATTATAATACTGTTGGCATGAGAGTCGACAAACACATTTCGTAAAAATGTTTTTATTTCCTTTTATAACCGAGCAAGACAATAACACGATAACATGAGCAATGCATATTTATATATGTAATATGGTAATAAGTATATATAAGACTGGGAAAATCATTCTCCTGCTAGGGAAATCTCTGAAAGCAATTCCATCGATTGCAATGTAAGTACAATTTCTGGGCAAAAATATACAAAATAAGGTTTTTGTCGTGTTTTAAACATCAAATATGTCAACATGACCCGTTTTGTAAACCAATTAGTTTAGGAAATATAATATATTCACATTAGAATAACAAGCACTTCTTGTTGATTCTTGTTTTCTTATTTTACATTTCATATATTTTGTATATCACTAAAATTGTCATGCACATGTATTGTTTTGAAACTGGCAAATCACAAAAAAGCTCTCAAATCAATTTTTAAATGAATGCAAGCAATGGACCTTTCCGGTGTTTACAGTTTTATGTAAATTAGCTAACTTGTTATCCAATCGCTACACTGACATAATACATAGTCACTGGTTGACCTGGTTTGCACAAAAAATAACGTGGTTATGTTTGTGATACTGTTTGTGAGCAGTTGACCTAGCAATGAATGGAAAAGGTGTGGCTAAATGTTCCGCTACGAAAAAAACGGAAAGGTCCATATAATCAATCCCTAAATATACTCAATTACAACACACAATGAAATTTAAATGTATTTGACTATGTACATGTACGTCAATGTAACCTGTGGCTGGCAAAAATCCCAGGTCATTAACAATTTTTGTAGAGGCCCACAAGGTAATGCTGCATGCAAAATATTAAAGTTCTCGGCATTGAAATTTCATACAATTAGATTTAAACGAATTTATAAATATAAAAGTATTTGAAAACTAGTGAACCCCTGGGCAGGCTAAATATTGACCCAAGGGGCATGATTAAAAATTATAGCTATTATAGTTCGTTAACACTCTAGTGGTCATTTTATTGTTTCAATTGTCATTAGACTATGTTAGGAGATTTGTCCAAGTTATTGTTCGGACGAGTTCATCTGTCATCTTGGATGAAAAACTACATCTAAGGAATTGAAAATTGAAAAGTCTTGTTATCACTCTAGTTGCTATTGTTTTAGTCCAAAAAACCTGAACATTGTGTCAGAAATGTTGTTTTGATTTTTTCTAGCACTAGCTTGAAAATGTGTTATCTGGGGTCATCTGTTCCAATTCAAATACCCTGGAAATTAGGCAAAACATTTGTTTAGATTCTCGCTCACGTTTCAGTATGGATCACCTAGAGTCAAACTAGGTCACATCGCCAAAATATGGAAAAAAACGTGTTCATACTCTAAAGGCTACTGTTTGATTCAAAATACCCTAGTAATTGGTTGGAAAAGTTGTTTTGATTATTTAACAACATATGTGTAGTAATTAGATAACACTACTGGTATGTATTTAGTTAACAGCTGTCAAAAGGCTGACAAAATTAGCCTTTTCGAAATTCAACTAGGAATATGGATACCTCCAATTGAGAAGACACTTTTAAACCATACAACCAAATTACCTAGAAAACACCTAGAATCTCGTCCTGACCGGCTTTTGTTTGGGGGGATCAAAGCAAAAAATTAAAGCAATACATATTGTAACTTTAAGTTTAGGGCGTTTGAATGCTGCATTCATGGAATTAAAAGACTTTGTATGCGTGTTAACATTAGTGTTGGATTTCTCATTTTTGATTCAAAACAAAAACATTTAACAGTCTTTGATCGAGATATTTTTTTTCTCCTTTTAAAGTTTAAATCGTATATCGAGTCATATTTGAAACATTATAATTTTATTTATTTTTCTATAGATAACCTTCAACTTTTTCTTGACCTATCTTTTATGCATTGTTTTCATTATAATTGCAATTTTTGTTATTTACATCATCACCAACATGCAAATGAAAGACAAAATCTTAGCATTTCTTCCGTACAATATAATTTAAAAGATTCTTATCTATTATACAAAAATAAAATAAAATAAAAATGAAATTGTATATCTTTTCTGTTTACAAATCTGGCTAAACATAAAAGAAATTCGGTGTAAGTTTTTTGTTTTTGTTTTTTTATTGTTTGGTTTACATTGACACGCACGCATTTTTAGTATCTTTCTCTGTTTTGGTTTTTATTTTTGATCTGTCACTGGTCTTTGTTTCTGTTTCAGAAAGATGCGGTTTTGTAGCATACTTGTTTAGTGAAACTATAATGTTTAAGAATGTGGGTCTTTTTGTAGGAATTTTGTCCCAGCAATGCAACATGATGTCATATAATTCTCGTGGACAAAGAATATGTCCATCATCTGGCATTTTCATCCTATACCCTTCTATAACTTTACTTTCTGTTTCGTCATTGCTCATACCTGAAAAAATGATACCGCATACCTGTGTCAAAAATATGTATGTTTTTGTTATAATATCAAATTGTGAATTTAGAGTTATCTGCAAAGTTTGTTTTTGCTAAATATTAGAATCCTTTAAAAGTAACATCCACTTTACCCGGATAATGCTGCAAATAATGCTTTATTATTTTATTGTCTCTGTTTTTGGCGATTTTTGTAATTTAGTACTCTGAGGTTAAAAGGAAACATTGCTTATCTTGTTGAATTGTTTCACTTAAATTTTTTTAGACAAATGACTAAAGTTGCAATATGATCTTAACAGCAAAGTTGGGATTGATGAACAAGACGATCAGTGTGAGAAATCATGTTGTTAAGTTTTCCTTTTAGCAACACTGAGAATATGTTGCAATATTTACTGATTACAGAAGTTAATTCCTGAAGCACAATCAACTAAAGCCATTAATCAACAAAAGAAAAACATATACAAACAACGGATAAACCAAGAGCGGGAAACAAAATTATTATTACTTGGAGCAATACTGACTTAGCTTCTTGCATATACCACTGTCCTCAATGAACATCTTGCTACAATTTCAAATTTTGTATAGGATATCGACCGAGTACGAGGTCTTTCTGATGTGTTTCATGAAATTCGTGACGAGGTCTTTCCTAAACAGAAAGATCGATGTACGAGGCCGATATCCAACTTACACACCGTCAAACTATTGGCTTGAGCAATGGCTGATCCGAAACATTTCATGTAATGCATATAAAGATAATTTTTTAACACAGCGCATAAACAGGTAAGCTTTTATCAATGTTCTGCTTTTATATAGTATATATTTTGCATTTAACTTTGTTTTTCAAAATAATAATAAAAAGGCTAAATGTGTAATTTGTCAATAAATAAGTAAATGGGTCTGTAATTGAATTTATGTAAAAGAATGAATAATTATGTTGAAAGTATTTCGTATCAGACATTTCAAATTCTAGGACATTTGCTCCCCCCGAACAGTTGCCCTCTCGGACGTTGCCCCCTGTTTTTTGCTTGTAACTTGTCAGAGGTCATCTCGTGTATATATTTTATGTACTTTATTTATGGATGCTTATTTTTAAAATTTCACAAATTTGCGCGAGATTTTTTGTTAATTGAACCAAAATGGAATTTCGACAATAGGCAATGAATTTTAATTTTTGTAACAAACAATTCAACAATTAAATTTTTTTAACATTTTTAATGGCAAATGTCCAACCCTTCCAAAGATATGAGTAGGGCAAATGTCCGTCATTGCAAAAAGGGAGAAAACTTCCGAGGGGGGAGGCAACTGTCTGAGGGGAAAATGTCCGGATACCAAGCAGACCACGAAAGACTTACATAATTATGTATATTGTTGCATGTGTAGTAATGTGTAAGATACATGATCCGAAATTATAGTTTATATAGCAGATTATAAAGTGTTCTAGAATTAAAATGATAAAAATAAATTTTTAAACTAAATCACTTATAACTTTATATTAACATTTCTTTTTCAATATTTCTTTTAATAATATTATAATTTTAAATAATGGGAGATGCGTTCATTGTAGACCAATCCACTTTGAGTACTTGTATCTGCATGTCACTATAAGCAAGGTTTGGATTATATCTTTAACGTTCTTTGAACTCGAAGGTTTTCAGGGGAAATCAGTTTTGATTTTTCGCGGGTTGAATAGAAAGGTAGGATAAAGCCTAACTAAAAGAGGGGGTGGGGACGGGTTAACGGGGATTTAACAATCTAATTGATCCTGATGGTGGTTATGTAACCAGGGACTTTGCTATGAACTGTAGGTAGCTGCGGTTTCCTAGGCAAAGAGTATATCAAATGGACGTTATTTGAATCACAAATGAAACGGACATATTTTTGTTATATTTTTTCGATATGGGGGTTTGGTACTATGAATTTTTTTATGGATAAGATGATTTAGAATCGTGATATGTATGCGGTGATAACTGTTAAAGTTTCATAGAAATGAACTTAAAGCACCCATTTTTGTTATATTGTGAAATTAATGACAGAAGAAGCGCTTAGATTACTATTACTTTGAAAAATGACGCGATTAGAAAAAACTTTGATATGCTATCCATTTATTTCATTCAAAGATTTAATATAGAGATGTTGGAATAATTATAAACATTATCTTGTTTAAAAGAATGTATCCAGATTTTGTCAGACAGGAATATTATGACAATCATTTATTTACATTTTATTTTTAATTTTTGATTGCATTTCATGTTTTCTTTGTCTACGCATAGGCAGGTCTATTTTTTCACGTGTTTTTCATGACCGGGTCTGTCTGACTAGAACAGACCTGTGCACGTGCAAAAGATAGACCTCATAACGGAATTTCTTTTGTTAAAACAGGTCTATCCTAAAAATATAGACCTGTCACAAACAATAGAGGAGGTGTGTAACTTTAGAAAACCTTTATTCGTTTCATTTTCAATTATGCTTTAAAAGATCGACTTACAAAACAATCATTGCAAACCTGGGTAAGGTAGCTTTCCAAAAGTAATCATCTCATAAAGTAACACACCAAAGGCCCACACATCTGATTGAGTTGTGAATTTACGTTCATTAAACACTTCCGGTGCAGTCCACTTAATTGCAAGCCTTTCTTTGTCTGTTATATACGATACATTTCATGTTTTAATTAATAGATATCATTATAGCAATAATAAAAACGTTTGCAACAATACATATTACCATTCACACAATAGAAAATAGATAATATAACCAGAGAAAAATTAATAAAATGATCACCGTCTGACCTTATTAAAATAAAAATATTTAACCTACCAAGTGAAACATAACAATCGTTCTGAAGCCTTTTTGCCATTCCAAATCCGGCAATTTTGAGCTTATTTACTTGCCCGACAAGTATATGTCCTGTCCTAAGATCTCTATGGACAATTTGTTCATTGCACAAATAATCCATACCTTTTGAAATCTAGGGAAGTGAAAACGAAACATTATGTTCCAAAAATTGTTTCCTTGTAAACATAAATAAATATGTAAAAGAAAGCTAAGCTTTGCCAAAAAAAGGCAATGCTGACACATAAATGCACATATAAGATATTTTTTCTTAAGTATATTTGTTGTAACTTGTTGTAACAAGGTAACTTGTATAGAGCGATTGTGTATTGTTGGAGCGATTGTGGTACATTGCTTTAAGTTTTTTATTTGTTAACTTTATTATTATAATTATTGTTGTGTTTAATTGAATACAATAATTATTATGATGATAATAATAGTCTTAATAATGAACAAGTTTAATAGTAATAATGAGAGAACTTCATACGATAACAATAAACGGTGATCGACCTGAATTGCCATATCAAGAAGTTGATCGTGTTTTATGGTCTTTCCCATATCTTTTCTGAGATAATCACTGAGGGTACCTATTGTTATCATGTCAAAAACCATCAAGAATGGTTTCTCTTTTGTGATCACGGCTAGCAAATTTATAATTTTATCGTGTTTTAATCGCTTCAATATATCTATCTCTGTTAAGAAGTGTTTAATCTCCAACTGACTGGATTGTTTTATTGTCACTCCTCGGTTTCTCCATTCACCTGCAAATAAAATACATGTACAAATGTGCTTTACATATTCCTTACCAAATCATTCCTAAGCACAGGTCAATTTCTATTTAGATATAGTATAAGTGTAAATTATTCCCGATGTTTTGTAAATCATTTAGATTGCGAAATTATACTTATCGTATGCACTGGCCATGAGAGAGGGACCAGATATTAAATTTTAAAAAAAGCTTTGACTAATGCCTACCTGATAAGGAAGGTAATTCCAATACAAACAAGGCTTACGCAACTTGAAATTTGACATGACATAAGTGCAACGTTGTTCTGTTTGTGTCACTATTATAGTCAGTAATAAAATATGATAATAGAATATCAAAGTATGTACATTTTCTTTTTCACCTATTATGATACTCATTTTCTACAAATTACAACAACTAATGATGCTAAGAAATACATAAATCCATATATGTAAATAAGCCAAAACAAAAACTTTCATCGACTTTATGTTTCAAAATATCCTTTACATGATTCGCGGCAAATGGTATTCCATGATACAATAAAGGGAGACAAATCGAATACACGCATTTGTCGAAGGGAGGCTACGCATTAGTTTTCCTTACATACTCGTAAGTTCTCTTCTAGCTGTATTTAATCTGTAAGTCTCTGATCAGTTTAATTATTTTTGCAGTCCATTTTGCCCGACTAATTATTTTGATATCTTTCCTACTAGAACTTAAACTACGTCTGTAAATAGATTTTTGAATTTTCACAATGTTACGGTCATGTATTTATAGGTTTTGAATTCATGTAACAAGGCTTGCGCAGCAATGAAATACACATGTACATGCATAACCCACTGCGTACTACAAAATTATAAGTAAATGCCTGTAGAAGATAGAAATGTAAAAAATAAATTATCGAAGTTTATTTTGTTTTGTCTTTTATACTGCCTTCCCATCGGTTGAGGAGTAAACTTTCTTCCCGTTCTGCGAATGACATACTGCGAATCACCAAAGGGGAAACCAATATATGACTTTATTTAATTTTACCCATAAAATATGGTGCTATATCACTCAAATGTATTTCATACTTTTTAAAAATAGATTTGAAATATAAATATTAAAGTGGGCGGAGTCAAAACTCATATTTATGTTAAAGACTTCTTTCGCCATTTTGTTTAAAAAATCTGATAAATACAAAAAACGTTTTGTTGAATTTTGTTTTGAAAACTTTGTAGAATGATAGAAAATGGTCTAACTAAGAAAATAAATCCGAACACCAATATCTTTAATTCAGTCATAAACGCTGTACAGACGTTTAAACAGTTGTTTACGTGACGTCACAATGTAGCGCTAACTATCGCATGCAAAACAAGACAATACTGCGCGCTGTACAGTTGCAGTTGCTTAGCAAGCAAAGTGGTTCGTAAACTTTTTACTTTGATAATGAAATTAAATAAAAAATGTATTTTTTCCAATTTCTTGAAATATGGTATAAATTTTCACTCAACATGATAAAATGCCATATATTTTCACTCGCAATCCCGGCTCCTTAAAATATGTGGCATTTTATCATGTTTCGTGAAAATATTTTCCATATTTCACTCAAACGTAAAAATATCATCTTATTACATTATAGAAATTGGAAGGATTTTTTTTTCTTTTTTTGGGTTCCTAATTTATTTTTAGCTGTAAATTGAAAGGATTTATTGATATAAATCGGGTCCCTTGACAAAGAAAAATTATAAACACAAATAGCAAGTTATCATGATTAATATAGTCTGGTATTATATAAAAGTGTCCGCGGTAAAAAATTCTAAAGATTTATATTTCTTGCCGTTTATGAATCTGCTTTATGTATTTGTTCTATCATAGCAAATATCTCTAAGCTTGTACTTACAAAGCAAAGATCTCTAAGGTACGTTTCCTTGCATTAATTGCTAACTGACATTTATATTTATTACTAACGCGATAACGTAAATAAAAAGAATGTGTATGTAATTTCAAGTAAGACTCATTCTTTGAAAATATTGACGCAATTACAATAAGTATAAGATGGATTGAAAGAAGACAGAAATAAAAGCATATAAAAGCATATAAGTTTCAGATATCTTAATATATATTGAAGAAAGGCTTTGAAACGTACCCGTGCTTATGTTTGGACCCACATTTTGACGGATTGTCACCAATTTTGCTTGTGATTCTAGATCTCTGAAAGGCACGTCAGGAATCGTTTTGGCAACTTGTTCTCCTAGTCTGCAGCACAAGCCATTAATCAAATGATCTAAAATTAGATTGGTTATTTTAAAGTTCGTGTGTATGAAAAGTAACTACCATGTACTGCACGTATACTTTTTAAGAAATACGTTCGTTTTAGGTGATATATTAAAAGTCCATAATTATTAAGTATAATAAGTTTTGCTGTAATTTAAAAAAAACGAATGACAAATGTTAAATTAAACGTTATGGTCTCCGTGCAGGGTTGATTCCTATAAAATAGGAATTCAGTTAAAAGTAACTTAAACAATACATTCTGCTTATCACCATTTCAATAAAGTATATCAAAACATAACTACTACAGAATCAGCAAAATCTTAAAATGGATAGAGGAAGGCATGCGGAAGGCATTTGCCTCTTCTCGTGAACATAAGTGTATGCGTAAAAATCAAAATGATTATTCAGTTATATAATATCCACAAATCCTGACCAAATATATATATTACAACGTATATATACGCTATATGATCGCCCATACTCAAAGAAACGACCAAGGCAAAGACCCTTACCTTGATAGTATTGAATCAGAGCAGTCATATCGGCAAACAGACGATCTTCTTCTGAAAGACGAAATCTCCCGTCGTTTGACCAATATATTCTGTAATGTTGGATTTTAACTGTATTTTCTCCCATCTCTGACTCTCTAACGGATAAAGCCAGTGACATTTTATCTAAAATAGAATAAATTTATCGGGATAAACTTGTGCTTTTGCAAAACTAAGGCCTGGAAAGTCCATGACTACTTCACTTATAAATAATCTTTAATTAACTTTGGTGTCGAAGGTGTTCAGTCTTAAAATCGTGCATTTTTATCATGTCAATTTTATAAAATAAAATGTTTTATTTTGTAAATTATGAATAAGAATGCGACAGCTGTGAATTTCTATGTCGCTATTGCTCCCTTTCGAAGAAATAAAAAAGCTTTAAAGGATAATTTATATAACAACCTGGATGTAATGTTATTATTTTTTAACTTATTATTTACCGGATGCGGTTCTTATGATAAAAGCTCCTAGTCCAAAATGAGGTGCCGACAGCTGACTTACTGTTTCTCTTTTGTTCAAGTCATGCCACCAACTAGTAAATTAAAAAAGACATAACATTTAGAAATATTTTTTTCTTTTTTATGTCCGGCAATTTATCTGTGATGTTTTAGTTAGAGTGCCCCCATAAAAGTCGCTCGGTTTCATTATGATATAATTAATGCTTCTAATATAATTTAGCTGTTAATTCAAAATTTCTTCTTGAAAATCAAACACAATAAATTGATATTGAGATTTTACTGTTTGTAATTTATATTTTGATAATTATTAGATTTTGTGGTCGTCTTAAAGATTTATATTGATTCTACGACGTCATTATTTTAATCCAAACACAACATTAAGAGAAGTTTTCTTATCATTAAAGAATTAAATTCCGTTTTGAAAGGCTGTTTGCGACCACGTTATAACCATCGTATATGGACAGAAATTGTGCAGTTCTGATAGCAGGTTTAATTAAGTGTTGATATGAGACAGATTTGATGCCGACCTATTTTCAAAATCAAATTGATGCAAACAGTTAATGGTACGCCTCTGAACCTAGATGTTAACTTTCCCTTTAATCAAATACTTCCTACTTTATCTCTATAAAATGATTATCACATTTCAACAAATTGCCGGTTTATATTCTAATTCTACAGTACACTCTAAAATCTTAAAGAAGACATCATTCAATGGTTTAAGTACTGATAAATAGAGATATACCTTTTGCAAGATTTAATTTAGTAGATGGTCCTAAATATACAAAAGGATCGACTCAGACATTTTGTTTTGCAGATGATTTACAATGTGAATAGTATTTTATTCCTCAAAAAGTTCTTCAAAAGGATGACCTCTATCACAGAATACAATTAAAATTCAAAATGACTTTGTGAATCAGACGTATTGTAACCATCAGAAAATATTTTATGATTAGGTTTTTGTGTTTACAAAGGGCAGTAAGATTTTTAGGCATAATTATCTTTTTACTATCTTAAGTGAAACAAAAAGCATTTACGAATAACTTAATGCAGATTATTTAAAACACAGAATTGTTATCTCATCTCTTTTTCAAATATATTAAAATAAAAAAAATTAATAATGATTCTTATCTCTTTTAAAATCAATGTCACTTACTCTTTTAAGTAATATTTTTTGAAATCGGTAACAACATAATTTCTCGGTATGAACCCTTTCTCTCCTGATCTCTGGTGTGTTGCTTTCATCCATATATTGCTGTCTCTTAAATGAGAATGAGATATGCAGATTAATGCGGACCAAGGTACGTATAAATGAGAAACATTTCTTGATATGATGTATTACTTAGCCTATATGACTTTATATTCATCTTTTATGTTTTATGTTGAATGTTACGCTCCTATAGCACAAAATTTATTTGTTGAACATTCGACCGATGCACAATAAAGTAGATATATAGATTTTAACAGAATTTTTTGTTTGAAGAATAAAATTAACAAGCACACAATCGAATTATCAATAAAAGTAAATGCTTGTATATATTTCTTTCAGTTTATAAAATTAAAAATGCAAATACTTAAGATTCCGCCTAAAAGTAATGAAAACGTCTTCGGCTTTGAAAGATATTTCATTATCTAATCTTGCATTGAAGTCATACAAGGCTGTCACAAGAATAGTCATGTTCATATCAGCTGAAATAATTAATATACAGTTCTGGTCAGACTTTTTCAATTAGATTGAAGAGATATGCATAGATGATAATCGATATTGTAAACAATTAACGTCATTTTGTCAACAAAATGTGACACAAAGTAAGAATGTTTTATCGTATCGTATCCTTAAAGTGTCAGTTTTGTGAATGCCCAGTTTGTTTTTGCTTTTTTATCAAGCTACAGTTTTAGTAAATGATGTAGCATAGGCAATTATTTAACTATGAAATAATTATCAACAACAAAAAAACTGTCAATTATAGTAGATTTAAATTTTTCCCACGAATTATTTCTTTCAGAACAAACTTTGGGAAAACCCCAATTTGGGGCTTTATTTTCAGCCCCGGATTCATTTTAATATAAAAACAAAAAAAATCAAAAATTTTAGCTTTTAAAATCCGGGGGTTAAAAGGGGAACTAGTAAAATATGTTCTTTTTAATTTTAAAACAGGAATAAAATTTAAAAAAAATTTTAAATTTTATTTAGTTTATTGCACAATAAGGAAAACAAACCCCAAAAGAACTCCAAAAAAAAATTAAAAATTTTTAAAGGCTGGGTTTGATTACCCTTTCAAGGCTCTCAATACAACTAATAAACGATGTAAATTTGTGACATATTTTTTAACATTTTGTTGTCTGCTTCAAAATTTGAATGTCCTTGCTACTAGTCGACAACGCCTTCTTTGAAGACAAACCTTCTTACAGACATAAATTTACTATGAATAGTGAAAGATGCTTTTCTGTCAGATAGCACGAGTTTGGAAAAAATAAATAGTATGCAGCAAATCTCTTTGTCTTCTCCGGTCCTAGATCAGAAATATAAAACATTTGTTATAGAATTTTCCTTAAACATTTCTGACATTCCTCACTTTTTTATCCCATGAATATTATTATTATTATCTAAGGACACACCAATACTGATTGTTGTTGCTGTGCTGCTGCTGCTGCTGCTGCTGCTGCTGCTGCTGCTGCTGCTGCTGCTGCTGCTGCTGCTGCTGCTGCTGCTGCTGCTGCTGCTTTAACAGTCCCTTGTGGTAAAAGAATTGGCACCACATTTATCCCCTGCGTGACAGGCGACTAAATATGTTCGAATAAATGTAGTCTTTGCTTCTCTTAGCTATGACAGGGGACTGCAATGTCGCTCAAATATATTTAACGGAAGTTAAAAATGTTTTGTGATAACGATTTTCAGTTTCATATAGAAGCTCATTTAGTATGAGGAGAAATCAATTCTTATGTATTTTCCGTATGTAAAGTTAACTGGTTTATAATATGATCATAATGCCTCAAAAACCCATATTTTAAATTATTTTGAAATGTCAAATAATACTTTCCTAATGGATCAAGAACATGTTAGCTGTTTGACAACTGAAGAAAGAAGCATTGAATGTACAGTAATGCGTCATGAATGTAGCAAAATTTAACCAAAGTTTTGACCGCAAAACAAAACACTTATTCATTATAGATAGACTAAATACCAACATGGCAGAAAAGCAAATGAGAGTTTCTCTATGTGACTAATAATTATTTTTCTTGAAGTATGTAACACTTACAAAAATTAAATTTTTTTGTGAAATAAAAAGAAGAATATGTAAAACAAAGTAAAACTGCTTTTATTTGCAAAGATTTGTTCGGAGTTTATGCATTGATGTACAATCCACTTACGTATTTATGTACACATTATTATAAACTTTATGAATATGCAAAAGAAATAAATTGAAATTTTGAAATTTAGTTAAATTGAACATTAATAGCCATATAATACTAGAGAGTATGAAAACTAAACATAATCTACTACCGATAGTACCAGTAAAGTTTGGGATTATTTTATTTGAATATGAGTTTCCAGGTTGATGATCGTTTTTGGTAGCCTCATCATTTTGGACAATACCATTGTCATTTTTAACTCTTATGTTAATGTAATGTAAATAATTATTGTGTTAGTCTATGCTGCTTAAAAACCAGATAAGTAGATATTTCAATGATTTATAACTAACACAGTCATTTAGAGTGGGTGCTTGTGTAAGTTTATGCTGCTTAAAAACTGGAGAAGTAAATAGTTCAATAATTTGAAAATCAGTCAATTGTCACAAGAGATACACATCGTTCTTTATCGTTTTCTCTTGTTCTGTTTGGTGTGTAACTATCCCACGTCTAAGTGTGATGATTTCGTTTCAAAAATTACGATATTTTTTCAATTGCAAATCTAGATAATTGCACCTGTGAAAAAGCCTGCACATTCGGGTTTCTTTTTTTTGTTAATGGGCTTTTAAATATAATAAGACCCGAAAATAATTCCTTTATGTAAAATGCTGTTTCCCCATCAATAACTCTACACGTGGTATTGTTTATATATGATATAGTTACAGAGTTACTAGATATGTGTATTGTTTTTCTGACAGGAAGTTTTACTGCTTTACAAGATATCTGAAATTTTATGTCTCAAATAAAATACTTCTGTGAAGTTTTTCGGATACTTATCAATTTAATATCCATTCGGGTTTATTATAACCCTTTTGTCTCATTCTTACCTTTTTCATCAGAAACATTCTCCTCCTGGCCCATTTTAAGTAAATATTTTAAAAAATCAGATGTGTCTGCAATTTAAAGTAAATATTATTTTCAATATATTGATACAATGTACTATTTTCTCAGATAAACGTTAAGATAAACATGAGCAAACATCTAACAATTGTAACACAGCTTACTCAAATATAATGATTAATGACATGTTATCACACTAAAAAGCCCAACATGACAAAATTGAAAATGTTGCAGACTCGGCTTGATTAAGCCTATTTAAGAATGGTGCTGTCAAGTGCAAACAACCGTCTACGCCATCTAGCACCGGCTAAAGTTGTATTCAACATTTAACATGAATTGGTAAGATTTGGAATTTAGAAACATCCGCAGATGTTTACATATGGCGGTAATCATATAACCTTCAATGTGACACGTAATAACCATTCCATGAAAAGCGGCATATGGTCCCCAAGTAAATAAATGCGTTTGCCCTAAACGGGAAAACGACGGGGGCAACTATATCAAATTGAATTTTAAAAGGGGATCAGAACTTAAGAATCCTGCATATCACAGATAATACGTCGAAAGACACACTTAAAAATCACGCAACATATCCTAAGGGTGTATCAACAGTTTTCAAGTGAGGAAAACTGGAACCACCTAACAAGAAAAAATCCAAATGGAAAGAACTTAAATACCCACAGCACAACAATAATGACGTGCTGAACTGTAGATAAGGATCGGAAATAATATATCCCTGATTGAATGAACGAGGCGACTTTTGACAGAATCCACCCGGCACAAACAACGCTGATGATGTGATAAAATAAAAAATAAGAACCATAAGTAAGCTCAACACGATTCAATCAAAAGGTGAATGCATGATATTGTAACGAATGAATAAAAAGATTAATTGAACCCAGTACACAAATAACCACCGTCATGGAGAGCGGGTGATTATGTAAGTTTATGCTGCTTAAAAACTAAAGAAGAAGATCTTTCATTAATTTTAAAATCAACCATTCGTCACAAGATATAGACACCATTCTTTATCGTTTTTTCATGTTCTGTTTGGTGTGCCAATTTCCCGCGTCTAAGTATGATGATTTCGTATAAAAGTTATGATATTTATTCAATTGCAAATCTAGATGATTGCACTTGTAAATTGATAGTCTGCGCTTTCGGCTTTCTTTCTTTGTAAAATAGGACTCGAAAATAATTCCTTTACGTAAACTGGTGTTCTCTATCAAAATACTCTACACGTGGTATTATTTACATATCATATCCTTACAATTATACAAGATATGTGTATTGTTTTTCAGGCAGGAAGTTTCACTGCTTTACAAACTATCTGAAATTTTATGTCTCAAATAAATTACTACTGTGAAGTTAATCGAGATGAATATTGATTTCATATTCATTCGCGTTCGTTCTTACCCTTTTGTCTCATTCTTACCTTCTTCATCAGATGCATTCTCCTCCTGGACCAATTTAAGGAAATATTTAGAAAAACCAGATGCGTCTGTAATTTAAAGTAAATATTATTTTGCAATATATTGCTAACACAGCTTAATCAAAATAATGATAATGGCATGATATCACTAAAGAGCCTTTCAAACAATTGAAAATATAAGTAAATTCTTTAATAATATCCAATTAACAAATATTCAATCAAATATTGTTTAAAGATATAATTCATCAATGTGAATAAAATAACGACCGGAACAAGCGAGAAGTATGCAATAAAAGACATAATATACACATTATCTTGTAGGGGCCCGGGCAAGTTACAACATTTGGTTTACACTATACCAAAACTTAAAAGAAATTGATCAAATCGGATACAAATGATTGAATCAAAAAGTGAGTCAAGTAAAAAATGGATAAATAAAAGATTGATTCTGAACCCAATACATATATATAAAGAAACTCAGTTATGGAAACGGTTGCTTATGTCAGTTTAGCTGCTTAAAATCTTGAGAAGTAGATATTTCAATAATTTGAAAATCAACCACTTGTCAAAAGAGGTACACATCGTTCTTTATCGTTTTCTCATGCTCTGTTTGGTGTGTAAATTTCCCACGTCTAGGTGTAATAATTTCCTATAAAAAGTAACGATATTTTTTCAATTGCAAATCTAGATGATTGCGTTTGTGAAGTGAGAGTCTGCCCTCTCGGGTTTCTTTCTTTGTTGATGGGCGTTTAAGTAAAAAAAGACCCGAAAATAATTCCTTTATGTAAACTGCTGTTCCCCCATCAAAATATTCTACACGTGATATTATTTACATTTCATATCCTTACAATGTTACCAGATATGTGTATTGTTTTTCAGGCTGGAAGTTTCACTGCTTTACAAATTATCTGAAATTTTATGTCACAAATAAAATACTACTGTGAAGTTTATCGGGACGAACATTGATTTCATATCCATTCACATTTGTTCTAACCCTTTTGTCTCATTCTTACCTTCTTCATCAGAAACATTCTCCTCCTGGCCCATGTTAAGACAATATTTAGAATAACCAGATGCGTCTGTAATTTAAAGTAAATATTATTTTGCAATATATTGCTACACTGTTCTATTTTCTCAGGTAAACGTAAAGATAAACATTAGCAAAAAATAGAACAATTGTAACACCGCTTAACCAAAAATAATGATAAATGACATGATATCACTAATTAGCATTTCAAACAATTGAAAATATAAGTAAATTCCTTAATAATATCCATTTAACAAATATTCAATCAAATATTATTTCAAGACATAATTCACAGATTTTAATAAAATATCGACCGGATAGTGAAGAAAGCGGGTGCTTGTGTTCGTTTATGCTGCTTAAGAACTTGAGAAGAAGATATTTCAATATTTTGAAAATCAACCATTCGTCACAAGAGATACACATCATTCTTTATCGTTTTTCTTATGTTCTGTTCGGTAAGAAACTGTCCAATGACAGATTGTAATGATTTCCTATAAAAAAAGTTAAGATATTTCTCCTATTGCAAATCTAGATGAATGCACTTGTGATGTGACAGTCTGTCCGTTCGGGTTTCTTCGGATAACAAGATAATTATTTTTAATATGACATGACAAATTGTGTGCATATGACGTCATGAACTTTTATAACTACATCAACCAATGGTTAAGGAGTTATTCTTCTTTTAGGTAGTTTACCCCTTATACATCACCTCCGCTATAAAGAATAATCAAATAGTCTAGAATTACTGCATTGAAACTGAGGGGCGCGGGTTCAAACCACAGAACGGGCAACTTCTATTTTTTTATATTTTCTTTAAACATTATCCATGTATCTCTCAGATCCCTTATGGAAAGAAAAAAGTGCTTGACTTTGATTTTATAATTATTGTAGGTATTTATTGGCTAAAGTATGCCAAATTTAATAGCAAATATGGTAACTTATATTTTCAAAGTTTAATAAAATAAAAGCCTCATGGTAAAAGTATTATCATATTTTACAAGATCAACCAATATACTATTAGGAAAATTTAGGCAAACTTTGAAAACAGCCCCGAATTGTGGTAAATTTTAGGGATACTTTGAATAAGGCCTAGGGAAATAGGGAAAATACGGGAATAGTCAAAATAGTGTTAAAAGTGGGTTGGGTAGGGCAACTTTTTATACATATGAACAACATATTGTGTAGAAACAACAGTTTTGCTCGTGTGATTTGTTACCTGAATGCTTGCTATTACAATGATGAATAGGAAAACTTCTTTCAAAATGACGATATCATAAATTATTCAGAGTTGCTTCAATTCTAACTAGAACTCCGCGAGTCGGATGTGTCGCCTTGTGAACAATATAGTTTAGGAGAAATGGCCAGGACAAAAATGAAATACGAAAACTAACAAAGGGCAATAACTCAAAAAATAATAAGTGCAGAGCAGCAGTTTCTATGCACTGCACTTCTTATCAATAAGATCTATCATTCTATGAAGTTTCAAGTCCATATAGAATTGGCCTGGACAAAAATAAAGTATGAAAATATATAAAGGGTAAAAACTCAAAAAAAAAGAAATGCAGAGTACCGGTTCTTGTACACTGCAATTATTTTGAATGAGATCTATTATCCTATGAAGTTTCATGTGTATAGCTTTCATACTTGAGGAAAAATGACCTGGACAAAAATAAAGTATGAAAATTAACAAAGGGCATTAACTCAAAAAATAAGAAATGCAGAGTACTGGTTCTTGGGCACTGCACTTCTTCTTAATGAGATCTATCATCCTTTGAAGTTTCAAGTCCATAGCTTTTATACTTTTGGAGAAATGGCCTGGACAAAACTAAAGTATGAAAATTAACAAAGGGCAATAACTCAAAAAATAAGAAATGCAGAGTACTTGTTCTTGTGCACTGCACTTTTTCTTAATGAGATCTATCATCCTATGAAGTTTCAAGTCCATAGCTTTTATACATTAGTAGAAATGGCCCGGACAAAAATAAAGTATGGAAATTAACAAAGGAAAATAACTCAAAAATTAGGAAGTGCAGAGTACCGATTCTTGTGCACTGCACTTCTTCTTAATGAGATCTATCATTGTATGAAAATTGAAGTCCATAGCTTTTATAGTTGAAGAGAAATGGCCCGGACAAAATTAAAGTATGAAAATTTACAAAGGGCAATAACTCAAAAATTAAGAAGTGCAGAGTACCGGTCCTTTTGCACTGCACTTTGTGTTATTGAAAGAAGCATGCATACCAAGTTTGAAGTCAATCCAATTTAAAGTGACTGAGTAATGCTCCGGACAAGCTTTAGGGGACGTCGACAACGACGCCGAGGCCGCCGCCGCCGACAAAAGTAATCCCTATATGTCACCTTTTCAAGGCGACACAAAAAGTGCTCTTCTAATAGCAAATTTTTATTTCCAAGATAAATGTCCATAACTCATAAAATACAGTAAAGTGTGTCTAAATGTTCCATACAGGTGTCGTTTATTCCATATAACTGTCCTATGTTGTCGATTTTACCGTTCCTTTAAATGCTCATTAGGGGTGTCTTACGTCAATGGAGATAGTAAATAGCATTATATTGTTAATGACCATTGACGTTGACACATTATTTTACAGTCAAGTCTTTTCCCAGACATTTCTGTTCAATATTAAAACAAAAGGTAACATATTAAACGTACCTTTGCTATCCTGTGCGACACCTTCACTATTACAGTCGGAATCCTCCTCATCATAATCCTCAGAGTGTTGCTCCTTATCCGGTTGTACTTTTTCTTGACCAATACTCTTGCAAAGATCTTCAATTTTGTCAATTTTTAATTCTCCGTTGTCTCTCACAATCACTTTGTACATGGACTCGTCTGCGAATATAACATTCTCTTCCATATGAACACTCTCGACATTATTCAAAATATACAAGTGTTGCAACTTTCCACCAGCTTCTATAAACCAACGGTTCTGTATGTTTTTCAAGTTGAATGTTTCGATGGATTTCTTTGCAAATTGTTCATCCATCACGTATGCTTAGGCAAATGTAGGTTATTCAAGATTGTAAAAGCCCCAGGCCTGCTAAATAAAAGCAGAATTGATACATGTACTTGTTTTGAAGTTTTATCTTACAATTTTGTTTATTATGTAAACACCTTCTAGAAATACAATTTCGATAGTTGAAACATTGACTGAAGAATATTGTATATAAAAAGTAATCTTTTAAGTACGTGTTTGTATGTGTCAAAATAAGTGTTCATGTATACATCCTAGTTAAACTACTAATTTTCAGTAAAGAGTTAAATGAATAAAACATATTAAATAAACGATAGTCAAAAAATGTACGACGTTTTTAAAAAAGTTTTAATATGCTCATTATCCATTTCATTTATAATCTACACGGAACTAGATAGCTGTAATTTTTATATTTCTTCACGGACTGTGACATTAGTCTGAACCAACCAATGTAAATAAACTCTAAAGTATTTTTTTATATTTATTATAAATCTGGAAAGTTATTTGATTTATATATTATATATATATATATATATATATATATTATATATATATATATATATATATTATATATATATATATATATATCAATCAAATAACTTTGAAAATAAAGATTTTGTGTTGCTATTTTGTAAGCCAAACAGACACTGCTATTGCAAAATGGCCTTTTTATCTTTACTGTTGATTTAAAAAATAATGAAATACAGGAGGGTTTACTATGTCATTTATAGAAGGGAAGTGCATATAATGTTTGTTTAGTAAAATATCTTCCTAAACATCAATAAATGATAATGTATGATATGCAGTTATGATGATCTGTGATGTGAGCCCATGGAAAAGTCTAAATGTTAGCTAGGCCGACACAGAAACTGTCATAAACAATAAATAATTATGTCACATTTTCAAGCTCCTTATCTTTGCCGAAATATCCATGTACTTTCATTGATCGGGAGAGGAGGTCACACAATAGAGTTATATAAGCACAATGTAAATCTTTATTTAGATTTTTTTGGGTTGGCCCCGACCAAGGGTATCATTGTAAAAACTGAAAAAAAAACTTGTATTGAAAATCCAAAAGCGCTTGAACTTAGATATTTGACAAGAAACATCTTCTAGTGGATGTATATCAAGGTTGTTCATACAAATGCCCTTGGGTAAAAATTGACCGCGCCCCAGGGGTCATTGATTTTCATGATATATTTTTTGTAAAATCAAAAAAAAAAATCTTCTTGTATAAATCCAACAGTGCTAAAGCTTATGTGTTTAGCACGAAACATCTTCTGGTGGATGTCTACCAAGTTTGCTCAAATAAAAGTCTTGAAGTCAAAATTTGCCCCATCCCGGGGTTCATTAATTTTCCTTATATGTTTATTGTAAAATGCAATAAAATCTTCTTGTAAAAAACTGAAAGCTCTAGCGCTTAGACGTTAAGCGTGAAATATCTTCTAGCGGCTGTCTACCAAGTATGTTTAAATTAAATCCCTGGGGTCAAAATTAGCCAAGCCCCAGGGGTCAGTGATCTTCTTTATATATATAGTAAAAAAGAAATAAAAATCATTAAAAACAATAGATCTGTTTTAGTGGGGGTTTACCAAGTTTGTACAAATAAAAATCCTGGCATCAAAATGAGCTTAAGGCCAATCATTTAACATCGACTATATACATATATGCATTACAGTGCATTTATTCTGGCTTAATTATCTCCCTTTGATAAGATAAAGTAAAGTTTTCTATTCATACCAAGAAATTCAATAAGCTTTATTATTATTATTATTATTATTATTATTATTATTATTATTATTATTATTATTATTATTATTGAGTTTATTGTTAATTTAGATATGAAGAAAATATTTATGTAATAAAAATAAATTTATTTATCTTCCCTATCACAATCATCTTTAAAAATTACTGCAGTATATATATATAATAAGAAAGTCTTATTGTAAGTAATGATGCACTTCAATTACATAGGATATTACACACAGTATAAACGAGCATATGGCTGCTGTTGTAAATACTACAATTTATTATGGTGAATGCAGGAATACATATATTGACTATATTAATTGCTGATAAGCCAAAACTATCTGAAAGTTGTAATTATCCTTTTATAATTTAGATTGTGTTTCTTCAGTAATTTCAATTTCAACTACAGTTATGTCCAATATAAAAACCCTGCAACACAATTTTTTTATGGTTCTATAAAAAAGCTGATGCTCATATGACCTCTACAGTGGACCTCTACATTTTTTTCCAATTAATAGTACTCAGGTCAAAATTTGCCCTGCCCGTGGAACATAGATTTTACATTTATGTATATAGTAAAAGCCCTTAATCTACAGAAGGTGAAGCTTAGTTTCCATAGCATCAAGTGACTTCATAGCAGCCTTGGACTAAATAATACTGAAAAAATTCCATAGCAACCAGTGACTTCCATAGCAAACATTATCTAGTCTACCATTAAATTCCATGACAGGCACTGACTTCCAAAGAAACCATTCATTTTGAACAGCAACCAGTGACTTATTTTGTAATTATTACCCCTCACTTTTTTCGTAATGCTAATTTCCCATAGGCCTCTGGGAGTTATTTTTACTGTTAATGCAAGTGTACCACGTGACTAAGAATTTTGTAATGTTACATAGGTAACAGTATTTTTTAACAGTATAAAATCTGGTCACGTGGTCTTTTTTCTGAATAAAATGATATAAAATGGCCGCCTTTTTTTTCTCGATTCATTCTTATTTTCAACGTTAAACCCCGATAGGACATCAATTTCGTCTCTGGAGTAACTATGACACTCATAAAATTTAGTGAAACGTTACAGATATGGTGGACAGACATAGGATATCATCGTTATTTTGTCAAAACCATGCTTAGAATATTCTGGAAACAGAAGGATCAGATTTCACAGAGCAAAACCGTGTAAATGGGTTAGTGTTTTGTTTTCTAAATAAAACCTAGCTTATTGTATGTGTATGATTTGTAGATATCATCACTTGCTTAAAGAATAAAAGAAAAAGAAAAATTCTCAAGTAGGCCTTAAGTACACTTAAATCTTAAAAGGTAAGGACAGTTTAGTTATTGTTACTCTTGGTTTATTTTTGTTATAGTTAGATTTAGGTGACAATTTCAGATCATCACAGTATATTTGTTCGGGGTAATAAAATAAATAACACATGGGTTTGTGAGTAACAGTAAAAATATCATCCCTCGTAAAAATACTGTTACCCATGTGTTATTTATATACTGCTGTAACATGTAAACTATTTTAGATACAAATATGAACTTTGTGATTAAGATTAAGAATCTGTATTTGCATTTGTTTATAGTTTACAATATTTTTGTTCCATGTCATTGGGAGTATTAATATTCAGCTGAGCGATATTTAGGCCATCATGGCCCTCTTGTTTTGTGTAGCATTCTTTTAGACTTCAGTCCCGAATGCCCTAAACGATTGGTTTCTAATTAAAGAAGGTTAAATGTATCTACGTCGCATTGCACTATTTTAAGATAAAAGTGTTAAATCTATATCACACAGAATCGAGGAAAATGTGAAAATGTCGTTTTTATATTGATTGACACGTAATCGAGTTTCAATAAACCTAAAGTGTCATATAATTATAAGGAATTAAATTAAAAAGGAAATTAAACAAATTATATTGTGAAATGTTAATAACTTCGAGCAAATGTAAACACATGCAAATATGAGGACTAACTCTTTATATTAAAAGGCTGTAAAATATTATATTGTGTACACAAAAAATGCATCCGGTTATAAAAGATTCTATCTAATTAAGTAATATTTTGGTTTGGAGTGATATATATGGAGTTATTATATACTTATATATGAAATATTGAGAAATATTGATGGAATGAAATACGTTGTTTATTTTCCATATTTTCACTGTAAAAAATGTTATGTTTCACTGCAGTGAAACATATTTTCCGTAAGTTCACTGATATCTTCTTTCTTCAACATTCTTCTGAATTCAGCCAATATACAAACGTAAAGTGAAAATCTTTCAAATTGTAATGTCAAAAAAGAAAATTCAATTTTTTCCATAAATACAGGATTTATTTTCATCTTGTGGTGTAAAATTTATCATATTTCACTCGTGGCTACCGCCACTCATTAAATATTTATTTTCATACATTTCGATGAAAATACATCCTGTGTTTGTAGAAAAAACCTAAAATATCCTCTATACATTACCTGCCATGTTGGCGTGGATGATATTTTATCTTGGCAGGTAATATATCCACATATATCACTCCAAAACAAAAATAATAATTTTATTACCCTTCCCCTGCCGTAAAATATGGATGAATAATTATAATTTATATCTAACCACTTCATACAAATCAAAAGAGGATACTTGTTTTGTTTTAGGTGACTATGCTTTATAACTTACTTCGAGAAGTGAGACAATTTCAATACTAAGAGCGCTTAGCACGAGTTAAAATGTACTTGATATATGCAAATTTACACAAAAATATATAATAATAAGAGCAATTTTTGACTGTTTTTTTTTTTAAAAAGATGACGTCAGCAGACATTTTCACTCTTATTATTCTTAAGTTTTTGTCTTAAGATAATCGTAAGTCCACTCTTAAGTCATTTTTACAATGCCACTCAAAAGTTAAAATTATATCATTAGATAAATTATTCATTAAGTGTTACGATAAAAACGTCTGAAGCAACGTTTATTTGATATTTATGCGCATGCTCTATATTTGTTTCCTGTTTTGAAGAGCTTGATATATAAATTAAACATTAAATCATATTATTCTTAACAATTTGGAATTACAATACGCCAATTGACAGTCTCTATATGAAGTAATAGCCAGGGAAATAGTAAAATCGATATCTATTATGCTAGAACAATGCAAAGTTAGCCGTTTTTAAACCGCTAGTGTGGGGCTATTTAATGTCTGATTTTATAATTTATCACACCAATGAAACGCTTGTGTTTTAAACTTTGTCTCAGTATATATTTTAATGCATTGTTTGACACTAAAGGTATTTAGATTTACGGTTATTCCTACAACAATTAAGGCCATTTTACATATTATTAAGTTTTATACAGTGATATAAGCAACTCGCAATTCTACTGATAAGGATAGCCTTTTGTCTGCTAGTTCGGAAACTGTCAAACGATGGATTAGAAGAAACAAATGGTTGAAACTATTAGATTTTAGTGAAATCGAACACATGGCATGGTACAAAACTATAGATTTCAAAAATTCTAGGACAGAGTTAACAGTCCAATACTCTCCATCATAACGTCATCACATCATGAATTAAATTTGTGTTATTATCAACATAACGTTTCCATAAACATGAATTTATCCTTCCATTTATTTGTTGTTCTTTTGAGATACCAAAACGTGTTTTTTAGCATGAATGCGCTCGTGTCCTGATAAATATTTCATGAACAGGAAGGCTAGAAACTTGGGGTCGGTCTCATTTGGAAGCTTATTACAAACGTGAAATACCCGGTAGTAATAAATGTTTTTTATTGTCAGGACAATTGTTTTTAATGCCAGGGAAATGAACCCCTTGCTTGTAGGCTCGAATCTGGACTTTCCTACCATCCCTTAACTTATAATATATATTTTTTGTTCTGGTGTTTGACACATTGAAGATGAACACAGGGTTTTTCATCAATATGATCAAATTTAGTTTTCCTTCTCATATCCAATACTTGTGCCTGTGTCAGAAATGAGACCGCGCCAAAAGAATCAAAATTTGGGAAAGTAGCCTGGCTTCGATTACAAACTCAGGTAACGAATGTCAACAAAAATACCCACAATTATGTTTACAGAAATAAATAAAAAATGAGATATCATTTTCTGTACACATTCAAGAGTCATCATATTTCCAAGACATATATAAACATATCATACAATTTTTAAAGTTATTATGACAGCATTTCCTTACACCAGCGCACAAGGCGTTTCCTTATTTCATGAACAATTTGAAAGAGTATTAAAAAGTAAAATATTGTGAACTTTACATAGAAAATGTTTCACACATTGTAAGAGGCACTAACAACCAATGTAAATGAAAACGGATATAATTTTTGTATCTCAAATCATTTTACTTTTCATAAATCTCCGTACAATTTTCTTAAGTTTTATTTTCTTGAAATATGTTGAGTCATCTTGAGGCATGTAGCATTAATCCGCGAGTCTCGATTCACGAAATAATATTTTTATAAATAATTAGTGTACGATATTACTGCACAATGTGCAAATTACCTTCTTTGTTCACTTCACAAAAAATTACTTTTAAATGCATGTCTCGAATCATTATGAAAGTTAACATCGATCTTAAAGTATACTTCTTTAACAATATCATTATTTTAATGATGTTACGTGAAGATAATTATGAAATTATGTCTTATGATTTCTTTCTCACAATATTCTATTTTATGGCGGTCATTCAACACGTATATACATGTAGTTTCAGTTCTACGTTTTACTGAAATTAGCCAATTTAGAATCGGTCAATTTTCATTCAGTATTTACCTGATTTTAATCCGTTTCCCACTTCTTTCAACAACTTAAGATCCCATATACCCAGAGTCACCTGTGACCAAAACTTGCATTTTCAATCAACGACTTTAACAGCAATTATGAAACAAGACAAAAATATTTCGGTTTATTTGTTTTTTCTTAACTTTATATAAAGCAGGACGATATTCCAACAACTTCAAGCGTCTAACTCACAAACCCATTCATCAGATCAATTGCTTCTTGATGTTATCCTCTTATTTTGAGTGTCCGTTATGTTAAACAATGGTATTCACGTGATGTGATATCTTCCCTATTCTTTTATATGAAAGTGTTTATTCTGATTTATATATATCAGCCACGACATGTTACTATTGAAAACGAGAAATACTTGGAAAATATCTTGACTAAGAATACAAACAATAAATGTTATTAGTGTTTAATTCTTTAAAGTAAGTAAGCCCTGAAAGTGTTTCCTGTTGCGAGAACAATAAATGAAGTGTTTGTCCGTAATGAATCAAGACGTAAATTCATACGCAATTATAAGGAAAGAGTGCAAAATGAAAAAAGTTCTTTTGTATTTTTTTTCCGGAATAAGATCAATATGATATATATGCAAGAAAAAGAATCAAACACCGACTGTCGTAACAGCCCGGAATATCTAGCTCTCGGGAAGTTGTTAAGCAAAAACTTGGTAGAGCCTTGTTACCGCGTTAACAGCTTTCATCGAGCTGGATATTCCGGTTTGTACCGGTTGATTCGAGTTAAATCCTTATAATCAAAGAAAACAACGCCAAATATTGCCAAAATAAAATACACACTTCAAATCTTAACATTAAGCAACATGTTGAAAACAGTAGCTTAGTGGGCGTTGGATAAGGGTAGCAAGTTCGATTCTTTAGTTTTTTAACATATTTTATATATTTTCTCTCTTTTTGGTTATCATTTTAAAATATCATAATGATAAAGATAACAACAACATTAAATATATATATTAGGATTAACATTAAAAGTTTTAATCAAATCGTCCATCGCAATAGTATATAAATCGTTATATAGCCAAATTTATTGTACAAGTTTTTTTTAACAGTAAAATTCAAACTGTGTGTAATTCAGACATGAAATATGATGAAATGGTTTTAATATGTCTGTCTGAGGGTGTTATCAAAATAGAATGAATAGTCAAAAAAAGAATGGGCCAACTAACGAACCAATCCTACATGACCATGTTGCATTACTCGTATCTATATAGAAATAAAGAGATATTGCAATGTATTATGTTCTTTGAATATACTACGAACGCCGATGTTTTAATATGGTAAGAGTGGCGGCGTGGCCAAGTGGTTAACGCGTCGGACTAGGAATCTAAGGATTGCTGACCGCGCTTGTTCAAACCCTGTCAGGGGCAAGTCGTTGTTTCCTTGAGCAAGAAACTTTACATTTATTGCTTAGTACTGGTTGGTTCCAGGAACGAATTCAAAAGTGTTTCAATAAGCTTATAGCTCTCAACACTATCGAAGTAAAATAAATTTGTATAAACTAAAATCAGATTTTACGTCGATTAAAAGCTTAATGACTTATGTCAAAAAATGATATATCAAAAAAATTATTTCCTGAAAGAAATGCACATTGCTGATTAAGAAGCACGCGCCATATCTGACATTAAGAAATACTGGCGTTAAAACTGACGTAACGTTTCTAAAATTACGTCATTTAACCACGATGTTTGAAATGTCATGTCATAGTTCATTTTACATTGTTTCAGTAGAAAATGAAATATTAGTTTAATTATTTTACTGGGAAATGATCATAATTTAATTGACCTTTGAGGAATTGAAAGTGAACGCGGACGATATGAAAAACAATGTTAATAATTTGGGGCACTGGGTGCTGTTTCGAGACACGCTTAGCCCAGTGGAATTTTACTTTTATTCTTTACTTAAATTTTGTGATAATGTATGTATACTTTTGCTTCTGTTACATTTTATTAACTGTTTTTAACACTGATAAGAAGTTAAGCTCACCCTGTTTAGCTTTATCAACCATAAAAGTGTTCTTGAGCTTGACCCTTAATATATAAGTTCCTCATTTTACTTTTAAATGAAAACATTTTGCATGCAATTTTTTGCACTGCACCATTGATTCAAATGGAGAAGGTAGCAGTTAATGCCCGTTGCTATATAACTAAAATGAAAGGCGTTGTTAAACAGATGACAAGATATAAAATATTTCATTAGAGATAAGTCAAAGTATTGTTTAATATGTGCTGCAAAACACATAAAGAAATAAATAACGAGTTCGTCTGCCCTCGAACCAACAAGTGCTACGACTTCTACATCACCAGGCAATCTGAATTAAATAATGAATCAATAATGGTTTTCCACTTTCGGTTTTGTATCATGTTAATTAGCACTTTTTATATTCATATGTGCATCGTTAACATTCAACTTTTAAAATAGTGGGCGGTTTGGGTAGTTTTATATTTTTATCGTAAACATTTGTCATTATCAATCGGTCAATCACCATATTAATAGTGAATCTCTGAAAATATATTTCTTATTCAAGTCAACTTGATAGCAACTAAAATTAAGCAAAATGTCACTCGAATATAAAATATGCGGCAAATCTTTACAGAGGTTTAAACGTATGCTCAGTGTATATAATCAATGGATGTAAAACCGGTCAGGTGTTAACAAACGTTATAAACAATCAATTTCAATTTATTTCAAGACAACAACAAAAATGAAGATATAATAAAATGAAACAAAATTATGAATATTCACAATAATGATTATTATAGTAGTGTTCCTAAGTTGTTAATCGAAATACTTTTTACCATCTGTGTTCAAAGTCACTTTCAGACATTATTTCTTTAATAAAATAATTATATACATGTACTATGATTACATTTCATATTAAGAATATTGATAATTGCTACACAGTATCTTTGTAAATATAAGATAGACATGTTTACTTTAACACAAATAAGATATGTTATGTTTAAAATTCTACACACGATAGTTGGTTACAATATGAATATAAGTGTCATGAAAATAAAAGCTGGCGGTTTTTTGTATTTGTTGTTGTTTTTGGGGTTGTTGTTTTGTTTTTTAAAAACAACTTACTCAGACCTTTTAAAGGGAGCACAACCTCCCATACACAGTTCATTCTTTTGTTTAGATAGTTGGTAATAATTTCATACATTTCAATAATTTCTGTGATCACAATACTTTACTCAAGGATAAGCATATCTTTAATATAGCAATAAAATATGAATCTCGAAAACATCAGTATTTTAAATGTTTAAATTATAATATAACAAATGTATATGTTTTCCAATATTCAGATGTTTCATGGTCCATTCGTTGTTCATGCAGTCTGCTTTAATTTTGATGGCGTTTGGTTTGCTTTGTCTAAGTTACAAAGGCAACAGCAGATCAAAAGGGCAACCTTTAAATTTTTCATCGCAATGTCACAAAACACATCCTTTATCAAATATTTGTATTTATTGTTTTTTATGCCTTTATTGTGACTATTCGAAAAAAAGCTGTTAATCATTTGAAAAAAAAACTTTCATAGCGCCTTTGAAAATTACGATGTCTTTGCAATACGACACAACTAGAGCTATCACTAAGGTCATACTCCCATCATCCAGAATAAAATAGGTTCTCCAATAACAATACTAAGCTAAGTCTCTTCATTAACTTGCTACTTGATTACTCTGTTATCGCAGCAAACAATTTTTTCTATTTTAGTAGAAGTGATATAAACCTTTGAGGTCAAAAACAATCCCAAGCAATGTCTCCACATAAACTTGCTATATACAAAGTGTGATGGTTAACTCTATCATGCGGAGACCTTTTTCTGTTTTGTAACAGATACCTTGATATTTACACCATGGGTTCAGAACAAATCACCCAAGTTGGGTCTTAATATAAACATGCTATATTCCAAGTTTGATTACAATATCTCTTTCCTAACTCTTGTTATTGTCTCGAACCATTTTTTTTATTTTTAGTAACTGTGAATTGTACCTTAACAAGGGAGACTCAAAAGCAATTCCGAGGGGGCTTCACATATGCTTGCTTTTCATCATGTTTCTTTATCATATCTCACTCCTACATCTAGTTATTGTTTGGAAACCATTTTTTGGCTTTTTTCAGTGCCATTTACCCTCTTCCCAGGGAAACCAAAAACAATCCCAACCAGGATCTTAATATAAGTTTGGTATAACCTCATTTAATTAAAATATAGCCACATAAGGTTGTTATTTACCAAGTTTGATTTCAAACTCATTTCTAAATCTTGTTACCAACCTACCGACATGTCTTCTATATACTCTCTTAAATTTGTGTGTGAGGGTGTAATGAAATGCTTTTTTTATTCAGGTTTAAAAAGGAACATTTTAAGGTTAAAGATTAACTCGGAAACCATTACAGAAATATATACTTAAACGCACTGAAACATAAACATCCCTGAATGATGTACACATTTTCTTAAATGAGTACAAAATGTGCAGAAAGCAAGAGAAATGTTAACTTAAACATGCCATACCAAGAAAACTTCTATCACTAAACAAAGGGAGCACATCATTTTGATTTCTTCTATCTCTTTGTAATATGTAATAGATGTTGCTATTGCCTTCGTCACAACTGTAAAAGAAGAAACGGTTTTAATGTCAGAAAAACATTTCTTCTTTTCGGCTTTTTACTAAGAAATAATGGAAACAGTCACACACCAAAGTAAATCATGATTGTGACTAAAGTGTCATATCATTGAACCAACGTTGTAATACTTATATGTAAGCATTATTGTATCGTACAAACCTTAAGACAATTAAAATTATAAAGTGGTTTGTAAATTAAAAGGTGACAAAAACACATGAGATCTTACCTCCAGGCAAAGTTAAAGTAACTGCCTCAGGTCCTTCGTGTGGCGGTTTCATTCCTCCATCTTTATTATCATTGCATGAAAACACCAAAGAGTTTATTTCAAGTGCAAAAGTAACGAACGTTACCCAAAAATGAAGGTCCGAATGATTATACCCTGCAAATGTATACAGCGTTATATTATATATAGCCATTTATATTAAACATGTAATAAAATTAATGTTTACGGTACAACCTACAGTAAATCACTTAATTATGAGCATTTGATTTATTTATTTTCTCAACTTTAACAAGAAACTGATAACTTCTGTACA